GAAAAGAATGCTAATCTCGCCGAAGAACTCTGAAGTACAAGAAAAAGAAAGAATCTGATGTGTGTGTGCATTTACCTTGGAAGTGAGAGTTCCAATGCCCTTTCTCTCTGCCTTACCACCTTTCTTTTCAAATAAAAATACTGCACATCAGTCTCTCGCGTCACGTTAGAATGTCATGTTACAGTTTACCAAATCCTTTCATATGTAACCCTAAATTACCTCTTTATTTTGCCTTCCCATAGCTGAACCTTTCAGCCTTCATAGATTGATTCCTTACTTCATTTTTGAAGTTTAAAACCTTATAGTTAACTTGTTTGGACTTTTTTTTTTTTTTTTTAAGCAGGACTCTTGAATTTTGACAAAATATCTTCCTATATATTTTAATTATTTGGGCTTGGTTTTGTTTCGTTTTCCCAATCTCTGAGGAAATCTCAGGGCTCTTCAGAACTCTGTTACATCTGTATCAATTTCTGAGTCGATCAAGGGATCTATTTAGTTGGTGCAGAAGGAAATATACAGTAGTGCATGCCAATATGATCACATATTGCGACAGTAAATTCGTGTAAATATGAAGTGAGAGAAGCAGTTTAGGAAAGATGCCAAGCCATGCTGCTCTAAGAAAAAGACCACACCGGCTTTAGCTGCATTGTTGGAAGAGATTTTAACACTGAAAGCCTCATTAGAATCCTAGCTCTTCCTCACATCACTTTGCTTGCTGCAACAAATTCACAGCCAGGGAAATTTACAAATGGGATGTGTTGCCAAAGCGTGACCTGCAACCGCTGATGCCGGATGTCCCAAACGTGTTTCAAGGGATCCCATCAAAAAGAGATAAGAGACTTTTGTTGAAGAATCAAAGGCAAATTTGATAGGAGCAGTTTAGGGGAGGTCAAACTCTATTTTCCTCTGCAGATTAGCACTGTGATTCAGGGATTTAAATGATGCTTTTAACAAACTCAACTATTTCAAAACTATTGGTACTGCACTTTGAAGCTATTCTTCAAAAGTAGAAGAGTCACTTGGAATTTATTATGAAATAATACTTCTCTACACACGCCCCTAAATGTATTTTTTAACATCCCTAGCTGTTTCAGACCTTCATAAAAGGAAGTTATCCGCTTACTGGAATGTGGCATCTTCCATTCTCCATTCTAATCTTTCTGTTGAAGCGATTTTAAAATGGCTTAGATCCAAACCAGGCCCCCCCCCCCCCCCCCCCCCCCCCCCCCCGCCCAGGATCTTAGAGTTAGGAATTCTAAGAGATCCAAAGCAGGTTTAGGGAAATTCTCCAGTCACTTGTACACTTGTAATCACAACAGCTTGTAATCTGTAGTTTAAACATTCAATTGTGTAAGAATCAAAACTCCCAACTCCACAAAACGCCTTCCTTGCCCCTGTTCCATGCCTGGGAAGCCTGCAGTGGGCTAAGGGGCATTCCCCAACCTTCTTCTCTAGCTTTGGCTCCTTCCACATAGAAATGGGACCAGGACAGTGAGGTAAAAAGCTGGAGAGTTCTCACTTGATAGGCACCAATGTAATCTGGCATTGGCCTTTCCTCTATCTTTGGAGGATAATGCAAGTTGACTCTTGGGCGCCTGGGTGGCTCAGTTGGTTGAGCAGCTGCCTTCGGCTCAGGTCATGATCCCAGGGTCCTGGGATTGAGCCCCATGAGCAGGGAGACTCCTTCTCCCGCTCCCTCTGCCCCTCCCCCTGCTCGTGCTTACTCCCTCTCTTTCTCTCAAATAAATAAAATCTTTTAAAAAAAGGAAAAGAAAGTTGACTCTTTCCCTTGTGGGCATGTTTGTGGGCTCCTGGAAGATTTCTCTGTTGGGTGGCTCCAACTACACCTCCCTTGAGTCAGAGAGAACCCAGAGGATGGCTGGCTTCTCCATCTTTCTACCAAGGCTCTCTCACCCCTAGAGCGGCTCAGCTGAGCAAGATGCCTTTATTCAGTGACCCCAAGGTACCATTTCTACTGCATCTTCCACATATTGGCCCCAGGAATTGCACACTTCAGGCCTGCTTCAGTGGGAGGGTAGGAATTTTGCAAATGTAGCCTCTGTTCTTTGGGCATATGTTGCTTCTACCAACCTCTCCCGGTTGCCTTTTGTTGTTGTTGTTTTTAATTAAGTAACGAGTCCAGCTCCGAGGCGCATAAAGGGTTAAAGGTCCCAAACTCTGGTTTTCAGTACCTCCTTGAAGGTCCTGCAGCACCTTGCTTTGGCGGGCAAAGCTGATTGGGATCTATTGGCGTGAGGCCCCAGCTGGATCCGCCTCAGCTGGCTTGGCCTCCGGTAACTTACGAACACAACAGGGCTTCCTTGTTGTTGTTGTTGCTGTTTTACCCATCCTCGGACTGAGTGAGGAATCCTAACAGACCCAAAGCACTGTGGAGTTCATTCTTCATGTCCGGCAGGGGTAATTAAGTACTTGTAGATGAAAGGAAACGGAAATAAAAGCCCATTCCCAGAGCTGATAATAGTTCTATTGAGATTTTTCCATCACTTCTTTTCTTTTTAACAGGATGATGGGAGGCAGGACGGCGCAGGGGAGTGCCGGCCTCTGGCACCTTTACTCTTGCTCAGCCACCACTGGCCCTCAGCTCCCAACACTCTTGTGTTTCTTGGTTCCGATCCTGCAGAGAGGAAATCCAATTGGCTCACTCCAACCCCTGGGTCCAATCAGCTCTGCCCTGAGCACGGATCCCTGGGCCCAGGGCCTGCTCCCGAGGGCCCTGGGGGCGGGCCTTGGGCAGAGCACGCCCACTACCATGGCTGCCATGCGCACAAAGGCTTCAGTGAGCTCTTCCCTGGGCTCTATGGCATCTCTCCTCTGCTGGGCGTGCCTTGTTTCCCTCAAACAAGGGGAACTCGAGTGAGAGCTGAGAAGCGGTACTTGTGTTGCTTTCTGAGTGTTTGTCTCTCTCATGCAGACATCTGTATGGCACCAGTGGGGGCTGGGGGTTGGCGTTAGGTCCACCAAATGAGTGGCAGTTTGGTGCAGTGGATCGGCCCCAAAGAGCTGGGAGGCTGGTCCTCCATTGTCTTGGTGAGCGAATGAGGGATTACTTCAGAGGTCTCCAAGAGCCACCTCCCCTTCAGCAGTTCATAAGATGGCTAACATACATCTACCCCCCGTTTCTTCATCCTCTTCCAAATCGTGAGTTTTTTATTAAACCATACGTGCAGAGAGTGGAATTCCTCAAACTCATCCATTCAGGGTATAAACAATCATCATAGACCCATGGAAGGCCCCTCTTCTCTGAGGTTGCTTATTTATATTCACGCCCGCCTCTCTCTCCCCTGAGAGAAATCCGTTGGAACACGTTTAGTGTGTCCTTTAGTATGCGCGTGTGTTTTTGCACTTTTGCGCTTTTTCGAACGGTCTTCTGTTCTGTACCCTGTCTGGTTCCTTACCTTGCATTTGAAGCACCATCCCCAGAGTTACCAGGCACAGCTAGGCTCCTGCCTCTTCTCGGCACGTCCTTCCATGCTGTGCATCCACGCACGTCCATGTCCACTGCCCTATAGCTGGATGCCCAGCTGCTCTCTAGCACTTCACCGCCATACAGCCCTTAAAGGCCAGCGGCAGAATTTCTTTGTGATCTGAACCAGAGTGGAAAGCTGAGGTCATAGTGCATGTGACACTGAGCTTTGCGTAGTGATGCCACAATGCTCCGCTGAAGGGCTGCACCTGTCCACACACCCAGCAGCAATGCATGATTACTCCTTGTATCCACTTCACTCTGCCTTGGTTATACTGTTGCTCTGTTCCTCCATCTAATGGGAATACTGGCTGCGTACTTCTTACTGGAGCTTTCTGCCCACCGTTGGCAACTGGGAACGCATGGGCGCACACGGGCTGCTATCAACCACGCGCTGCTTCCCCCCACCACCACCCAAAATTACCATCATCCGAGACGTTCTGGTACTTTCTGAGTTTCTTGCGTTTTATTCCTCCCCTCTCTGCTCTGTTGATTTCTGTCCTCCCCCACCACAATCCCCACCTCCCGGTCCACACCCAGCGCTGCCGTGGCCAGTGGCCCAACCTGGTCCGACTGAGCCTGACGGGAGGGCACCTAGCCCCAGTGCAGAGATTGCTAGAAATACGATCTGCTGTGGCTTCTTCCAGGAAGTGGCCTTGCAACGGACTCCCTTTACTTTATTCATTTGGACCGTAAATCGCGAAAGCAGGTCATTCATTAAAACCTAAAGTAGGAAAAGTCAGCGTCTCCTCAACAGAGTGGCAACTGACCTTTCTTCTACTCAGGATGGAAAGGGAAGGAAGGTAAAGTATTATACCCACAGCATGATTTTCCCTGAGGGGTTGAGTTATTTGTCAGGATTGGGTTATTTGGGGGACATTAAATAAACCATGATATTGCCTCGGGGGACACCTATCGTGAACACTCTTTCCCAGCGAGTGCCCATCTGAACTACTTAGCGCCCCAGCGTCCTGGGCGTTGTTACTGTGGACCCGGTGAGCTCCCCGGCGTGGGGAAGTGATGTTTGCGGGGTGCTGTTTGCGCACAAGAAACCCGCACTGACAGTTCTCTTTCATGCTGCTGACCCTGAGCAGATAAGGATGTCACGAATTTTTAAAAATCAATTCCCTTTCTAGAAAATTAAAATCCGAAGGGGGAGAATCAATGTGGAGGGTGGCGGAAAGTGCCGAGACTGATGGAGTCGAGGCTTTTCAAACAGTCCTTTCCCTGGGCAAGTGTTGATTTCAAAGGCCTGCTGTTCGGCGTCACAGATAATAGCACCCAACATAAACCGCATGGGAAGCTTTCAATCAGGCTGTTTGTTACGCTGGGTGAACACTTGATTTTGGTTTTCTCTGAGGTCTGAAAGCCCATTTTTGAGCTTTTTGATTTACTCTGCCTGAGAGCCCCGGAAACGTTCGCCAACACATCATACATTGCATTCCAAAAGAATGCTGTCGTGTAGAGTCCGGCCTCTGTGCATTTCATAAATATGTTTGTTTTTCTTCTCTTTCAGAAGCTGCAAAGAATCGATACTCCTCACTGTCATTCAGCCTTACCCTGTAAGTGTCCTGTGAGTAAAAGTGCCACTGTATGATCCCAGGATTCTAGCCTCCACCTCCTCCCAGGCTGGGGAAACCGTGATGATGAATAACAGCAGAGAAAAACAGCATGCACTCACAATATGAGTTCAGAAATCTTCATTATTTGTATTTTATACACCATGGTAGCAAAACCATTCATAGGAGAGAAAGGAAAATAACGCATTTTCTATATATCTTGAAACCGGCTATTCAATCTGTGGGACTCACATCTGGAAATCACACAAGACTCAAGACTTTCTTTTGGTTTCCAGCTTAAGAATCACAAATGGAATGGGAATGTTTGATTGTAGGATGTTCTAGCATAATTCTTTTTCATATCCCCTTCTAATTGGTAGATATTTCAGGGAGATTCCCCCCTTTAAACATGGCTATTAGAGGAAATATGGCTCTCAGAATTTGATTTAAGCGTACAATTCAGTGATCTATATAAAATTTACCAAAGTTTGCAGACATCACCACGGTCCAGTTCGAGAACACTTCCTTCAGCCCCATGAGAACCCTCATTCCCATTTACAGTGAATACACCCTGCCTACCCTCAGTCCTGGGCAACTACTAATTGACTTTCTATTTCTGTAGATTTGCTGTTGCTTGTAAATTCCATACATCGGCAGTTGAACTCAAAAATAGCAAGAAATTCCTCCAGATCCTCCCCACCCCCCACCCACCCCCGCCAAACATTTACCATTGGTACTTTGTGGCCTTTGCAGGGATTGGCAGAGATCCCACCTGTTTACGCTTCTGTTTTCTTCCCCGTGGAGCTGGAGGCTCTGCTAATGGTCAGTGTCCATCTCCTGACCAAACTCTTCCTCTCCCCTGTCCCAGCGCTTTCCTCCTAAGCACTGTGGCCTAAGCATTTCAGGCAGGAAAAAATATGTATTCAAGATTCCGATAAGATAACGAATAGAATTAACCAAGACACTAAATCATGCCATCCAGGATGTAACTATTTATAATAAAAGCTTAGTTTCCCATTCACTGTTCCTTTTGGTCCCTCTCTGTGCCACAACTGCACACGCATGTCTGGATTTGAAAACCAAGGAGACAGCAGAATGTAAGAGAACCGAGGTTTGAGATCTAGTTCCCAGCAATAGAACAGGGGACTCCCACACCTGCTCAGATTTCTGCACCTGCCTGAGAGGGTCACACTGCCTCACGTCCAAGGGCTCGCCTGCTCTGCATCTCAGGATTCCGTGATTCCTTCCAGAGAAAGTACAGCTACTTTGTTTCTGTTAACCAAACTGTCACTCACCCTCACTTCAAATCTATCCACACTTCTTCATTTCTTGACAGTGGACAAATAGGTTGGGTGAAGCCAATGGAAGTGTCTACAATAACCGAGTGGTTGGCCAACTACAAATTCCTAATGGAACTTCAAGTTCACCTTGTGTTTCCTGAATTCTCTCTTCCCACTTTGTAACCTCTTAGACATGCGAGATCAGAACCATCGTATTCCATACCAGATTATTTTTGCAATGTGAGGTGATGTTTTACCCCATGCAGTAAACTTGGAGAAAGAACAAGGAGTTTGGCATTTAAGTTAAGGGTTGTGTCTTGTGGCTTTGCTTGCTGTTTTTTGCCATTTGAGTGTGCGTGACTGGTTATTCATATGAATACTCATTATTATCGGTGAGTCATGGAACTTCCTGTAATAGATCATCTGGCCAACGGCTGCACCTCTGCCCCTCGCAGCAGTCTCTCCCTGCCTGGTCACTGTGGATGGAGCCCTCATCTTTGACTTTCCTTGACCAGCCCTACTTCCTGAAATGCCCGCCACATAGCCCACCCCACCTCCTCAGCCTAGCCCAACCGTTCTCACCTTCCAAGCCTCAGCACAAGCTCTAAATGCTATCTCAGAGTTTCTCACCGTCCCCACTGCTGACATTTGGCCTGGAGAACTCTACATTCCGTGGTGTCGTTCCATGCGCTATGGGATATTCAGTGGTATCTCTGGCCTCTACCCATTAGATGCTAGTGGTACCCTCTCCCCATATTGTGACAACCAAAAATGTCTCCAGGCATCGCCAGGTGCCTGGGGTGGGGGGTGGGGATTCCTTCCACTTGGGAACCACTGTCCCACTTAGAGTCTCCCCTCACTGATCTAGCCCAAAGTGGCCTTTTCCTCTGCAGTATGGGAGTGGAAATGAAAGAATTGAAACCCCAAAGTGACTTAAATAGACAGATTAGACCCAGAGAGGAGCGAAGATGGGAGAAGAGGCTACACGTTGTTCCTTACATTTTTGTGTTTGGATCTTCCTACCGGCACGTTGCTTTTTAAAATACGAAACCTCACTGGGTCCCATTTACTTGCTGAACATTTCTCTCAGCAGCCAGGATTGGCTTCCTGAAACAGATGACTCACGAGGCCAAAAGAACGTGTGTAATTTCTACTTCTATTGCAGATAGTAAAAATTAGCATTTATCCTGTAACTTGCCGGCCAGCATTTGTGATGTTGTATTTCTTCTGCCTAATAGGGTCCAGTCCAGACAGAGAGCCGATGTTTGCCCCTCTTCTCACCTCACTCCACACGGTCCCGGGCACCCACAGTGAGCCCAGCTGTGGAAACTCCTGAGGCTTTTGAGAAGCCATTTTTAACAGGCTGCTGCCTTGTTTTTGAAGTATTATAGATGGCTCTCCCCCTCCGCCATGTTTACTTTAGTTCTTAGAGAAAAATTGTGGAAGTATAGAAGGAAACACACACACAAGCAAAAAAAAAAAAAAAAAAGGTGTCAGCACATCTTTTCCTCAGAGACAAGCCGTGTAAACAATCGGCCTATTTCCTTCAGTCATTTGACAGATGCCTTGTCAGTAGTGGAGATCTTGGACATGCAGTTTATTCTGCTCCTCTCACTGAGTCTATCATAAGCATGGTTTCATGCCATCGAGAATTCTTTGTAAGCATCGTATACATGGCTGGGAAGCATTCTATCGAACCAGGATTTACTTAACCAGCACCCTCTTACTGACTTCAGTGGTTTTTACTTCTGCACGCAACATCTTTGTGTAGAAGTCTTTATCTGTATCTAGTTAGTAGTTCCCCCATTCCATTACAATGGCATTCTAGAAAAGGAATTTCTGGATTTCTTACGAATTTTTTTTTTAAAGATTTTATTTATTTGACAGAGCACAAGCAGAGGGAGAGAGAGGGAGAAGCAGGCTCCCCGCCGAGCAAGGAGCCCGATGCGGGACTCGATTCCAAGACCCCGGGATCATGACCCGGGCCGAAGGCAGACACTTAACTGACGGAGCCACCCAGGCGTCCCTGGATTTCTTATGAGTTTTATTCCATCTTTTATACCGTCTTCTTTCCATGCACTGTTACTGTTTTTTATTACAGAGCTTTCTTGGCTAACCCCGTCCTCCTCTCCTTTGACTCTGCCTGCCACAGTTCCCAAATCTAGAACTTCCAGAACTTCCTAGTCTAAAGACAGAGACTACTGAAAGAGTCTCAGTTACCGCCCCTCACCCAGGCCCAGCTTAGTGAGACTTGGGATAAGTCACTCTCCGTTCTGTGGTCCACGCTTCACATTCACTCAGCTTTTTTCTAGGCTCAAGAGCTGAGGGACCTGCTTGCCTGCTTCTCCCTTCCTGCCCAACTTCCACTAGGTTCCACACACGTGAGGGAGGCTACATATCTCCTCATGGGAGCCCCCGAGTATTAGACGGTATCAGAACCCAGACCAGATCCTCCTGCCATGTGTCATGCTGAGCATGCCAGCCTGATACCCAGCCGAGGTCACCAGTGATTGTTCGCCCGTGGGTTTTTTCAGGCTGCAAGAGGATGCTCATGCAGCAGGCCACAAGTGCTGAGGAAATAACATTCCTGGACGAGCAGCCCCTCCATCACTGATTGACAGGAGCTGGTGAATATATACCCTAGCTCTCTGTCTCCTCTGACATTCTAACTCTGAGGCCTGTGGGCTGCCTCGTTCCAAGATGTCCCCAACCGCTTTAAGCTTCAGTTGCTCCCAATGGTGAATGACTTACAGAAGGCTTCACTGGCTTACTCTTTCACCCCGTCTCCCTTCCTCCTGCCCACCTATGCGTGCTTCCTGGGAGTGCCTCCCATTCAGCTACCTGTTTGTGGAGTCTTGTCTCAGGGTCTACTTTGGGGGAACCCCACACTAAGTTACCCAGTGATAACTGTGGGCTACTTAGACCTCACCAAGTATTTACTCCATGCCTACTCTGTATATAGTACTGTAGACATACAGGAATTGCAAATTTAAGACCTTATGCTTTAGTTTCAGAAATTTTACCTTATTTATGTAATTTTTTCCGAACGATGTTTTCTAGTAACTTCTCAGCATCTGAAAGCCCCAAGAGCATGGCACACATCTACTCTGGCCACCTTAGCAACAGCAAATTTGGAAAGAGGTGCAGAGGCTGATTAGAGCCCTTCTAATCTTAAATTAATTAACGGCAGGAGAATCTGATTATTTTAAATGGTAATTACTCGTCATTTCCACCACAGGATAGGAAATGCTTGTGATCAGCACCTACGGGCCTGCAGGTTGCTAAGAATTAACTCATCGGGTTACTGAGTGGTGTACATTGTATGTGTTTTGAGCTGCAAAAGGAGATCCGAGTGAAAACCACAGTCATGGCGGGATTACATACCCCGCGTGTCACAAATAACTCCAGCCAGTGGGATAGCCATTATTTTGTTGACTCTATTTCAGTAACCTTCAGACTCAAGGAGCTTATGTTTTTATTAACCAAAAGTAATTTTTAAAACTTACGTCAGTTATATAAAATAGTCGCAAATCCAGAACAACAAAAATGCCCTGGCCTGAAATCTTGGCCTTGTATCCCAAGTCCGTTGACTTCAAAATACATGTAGAATAGTATTTACTTAACTACCTTGGCTATCTAGGTTCCTGGCTGGTTCTCTTCATTTATCAGGTTTGTCATTAGGGCAGGGCAAATAAATCTGGGGACGAGGCTATAAGGGAGAGGGAGAAGCAGACCCCCCGCTGAGCAGGGAGCCCGATGCGGGACTCAATCCCAGGACCCTGGGATCATGACCTGAGCTGAAGGCAGATGCTTAACCGACTGAGCCACCCAGGCGTCCCTGTGAAATGGTCTTTATTGAGGCAAGCAGTGACATAGATAGATCATTTTAAGAAAATGTGGCAAAGTATTACATTAAAAGATTCGGGTGTGCAGAGGAACCAACGTCCGTATCTGGCGTGTTGGGCACTTGTGAGAGCCTTCATTCACAAACAACGCTGGAGCCTCGGGGCACCGCCTCGCTCAGGCGCCTCATCTAATCAGTGGCGTCCATCCCGGGTAGCTTTCTGACAGCCACTCCCCTTGTGCGAAACCCATTGCGCCAGTGTAAATATTGCCTGCTTAAAATCATTAAGAGAGAATAATGTTTTCCCTTCAGCTGAAAAATGGCATATCAAAAGCAAGGAACTCACTACTGCACAATTTGTTCGTTAATCATCACCAAACTCAGCCTAGAATTACAGATAGGGAGGAGAACACCACCGTCCCATCACTTAAGCTCTGTAGTAGGACTCTTTTTGTTTTTTTAAGTTTGTTTTTTTAGTAATCTCTACACTCAACGTGGGGCTCTGAACACTCAACCCCAAGATCAAGAAGCTCATGCCCCACCCACTGAGCCGGCCAGGCGCCCCTGGAGTAGGACTTTTATTTTTTATTTTTTTAAAGATTTTATTTATTCATTTGAGAGAGAGAGAGAGAGTGCACAAGCAGCGGGGGGCCCGCAGAGGGAGAGGGAGAAGCAGGCTTCCCGCGGAGCAGGGAGCCCGATGCGGGGCTCGATCCCAGGACCCTGGGACCATGACCTGAGCTGAAGGCAGACGCTTAAGGACTGAGCCACCCAGGTGCCCCTGGAGTAGGACTTTTTAAAAAGTCATGTTGAACATGTTCACAGTTGTTGTTCTTTAGAGTCTTTTGAGTTCTTGGTTTTGTTTTCTTTTGTTGTGTTCTAAGAGGGCAGCTGTTCTCTGAAAACATCTTGCATAAATAGGGGAATTAAAGCTCTGGCGGCCAAACCATTCATTCATCCATCCAGTCCCCTCAGACACTGATCAGAGCAGACACTGGGATGGGTGTGGAGGGGAACTTGAGATAACAGGATTGTTTTCCAGTATTCGAGCAAAACTCCACCCGGAAATAGACATACACATATTTCATCGTGTTTTTTTCAACAGTGATTTTGTCTTCTTATAGTAAGATGCACATAACGTAAAGCTACCATTTTCACTATTTTAAAGTATTCAAATCTGGGACATTAAGCGCATCCACCATCTTGTTCAACTGTCTCTGCTGTCGAGTTCCAGAACCTTTTCATGACCCCAAAAGGAAATTAACCCTGCAGATGTTAGTCGCTCCCCATTCTCCTCCCCAGCCCAGGGCAACCACTAATCTACCTTCTGTCTACATGGATTTGCCTGTTCTGGACAGTTCATGTAAATGGAATCAAATCCTACAATACGTGGCCTTTTGTGTCTGGTTTCTTCCACTCAACATAATGTTTTTGAGGTTCATCTATGTTGTAGCACGAACCAGAACTTCATTCCATTTTATGGCTGAATCACATTCCATTGTATGGATTTGTCATTTCATCATATTGTTTTGATTGATCTCAAGTATACTTGTATTTGACAAAGATGGGAACCTTTTTCATTTTTCCTTGAAATTCAAAGTATGGGACACCCTAAGTGGCTTTTGTGCCTTGAGATTAATACAATACACAGATAGTTGAGCCTCTGTGTTGGTTCTAGAGTCAGTTACTAGGATTCTTTCCACAACAGTCTGAACCTCTTAGGACTACACACCATGAAAACCATTAGGTTGGACAATGTGCACTTTGCAGTATTTGACAATTTTAATCTATAAAATAGCAATTTCATTATTCAAACTAAATATTTACCTGTATATTAGTTTCAGTAGAGAATGCAGTCCTCTTTAAAAATAAACAAATGGTGCCTGCAACATAGTAGACACCTCCTAGATGCAAGTTCCCTTCTCCTCGGGCTTCATTAAAATTATGCAACAAGGATGATTCTCACATGGAGTAAATTGACCAGGACTGTGCAGCAAGAGCTCCCTGGATCATAGTACCCTTCTGAGCAAGTTTTCCTCTTGCACGTTTAGTTTCTGAGGAAGAAAAATTGAGTCACTCGGCTCCTCTTTCCAATAAGAGACAGTACAATTGACACTTGAACAACATGGGTTTTGGGAGCACCAACCCCTGTGCAATCAAAAACCTGCATGTAACTTTTGACTCCCCAAAAACTTAACTACTGATAGGTTGACCAGAAGCCTTACCGAGAACCTAAACACATATTTTGTATGTTCTATGTATTATATACTGTATTCTTAGAATAAAGCAAGCTATGGAAAAGAATGTTATTAAGAAAATCATAAGGAGGGCGCCTGGGTGGCTCAGTTGGTTAAGCGACTGCCTTCGGCTCAGGTCATGATCCTGGAGTCCCAGGATCGAGTCCCACATCGGGCTCCCTGCTCAGCAGGGAGTCTGCTTCTCCCTCTGACCTTCTTTCCTCTCGTGCTCTCTATCTCTCATTGTCTCTCTCTCAAATAAATAAATAAAATCTTTAAAAAAAAAAAAAGAAAGAAAAGAAAATCATAAGGAAAATATGTTAGCGTGTCTGGCTGGTTCAGTCAGTAGAGCATCTGACTCCTGATCTTGGGGTCTTGAGTTTGAGCCCCATGTTAGGTGTAGAGATTACTTAAAGAAATAATAACAAAATTAATATAAATTTTAAAAAGGAAAGTACATTTATGGTATTGTGCTGTACTTTCTGCAAAAAATCCACATATAAGTGGATCCTGTGCCATTGAAGGGTCAACTGTACAAAGAGCTTTTACAGTGAGACAGAATATGAAGTCCACATTCAGTTGTAAGCCAAGGTGGTCTCTGCCGTCTCCTGCAAGACCCCAGGATGACAGGTTGCCAACAAGAGGCTGAAATTCAAGTTTTGGGCACATAAAGTGGGGGTGTTTTGCGAGTGTGTGCGTTTGCCTGTTCACGTGCCCTTAAACCCTTCATGTGAATAACAGTGGGGTTATCGATCACTTTAGAGCTATTAGTGACTCTTCTCCACCTCATTGAAATAATGAGTGATCAGTTTGACATGAACCCAACATGACATTTGACCACCACTTCACCCTCCACATCACGCTCAAAGCTCTATAGTCAAAGCAAGGTTTGTGTACTTTCACAGCCATCATTTTAAAAAATCCTTGGGTGGGGCGCCTGGGTGGCTTAGTTGGTTGAACGTCAGACTCTTGATTTCGGCTCAGGTCGTGATCTCAGAGTTGTGAGATCGAGCCCTGTGTTGGGCTCTGCGCTGGGCATAGGGCCTGCTTAAGAGTCTCCCTCTTCCTCTGCCCCTGCTCTCTTTCTCTCCCTCTCTTCCTTTTTCAAAAAAAGGAAAATAAGAAGATCCTCGGGAATGTGCTCAGTAAGAACAAGGACCACGCTCTTTGCAGTTCTGGTCTGCTGACTAAATCAAACCTCCTACTTTATGAGCATGACAGTGTTTTGATTGCCTCCGTGATTTGTGTTTCGTCCTCGAATTGGACATGCACCAAACATACTTTTTAGCAAAAATATTGCATATTCGAGAGGATAAAGCTAGAAAACAAGTGTTCCAGGGTTTGTATTATGTTCCCAATAATCATATCCAATGTTTTCTTTTTTCTAGTCTCCCAAGTCAGCATTTATTAGTGCTGCAAAAAAGGCAAGATTAAAGTCCAATCCAGTCAAAGTGCGGTTCTCCGAGGAGGTCATCATCAATGGCCAAGTGTCGGTGAGTTGACTATTGCCTGCTTGCGACTCAGAGTGGCTGAAATAGGGGCTTTGCACAAAGCACAGCCAGTCGCCCTTCTGGAATGGTCAATTGAGAATTCGTGGTTGGATTTCACAGGGCTGCTGAATCTCAGAATTGTAAAGGGCTTGAGAGATCACCATGTTGTGCCTGATGGGTTCCCTCTATCGTATCCAGAATACGTAGCCATCCAGTGTGTCTTTGAATGCTTCCAGTGTTACAAACCTCACTACTTTGCAAAGAAGTTAATTTGATCTGAGATCCCTGGCATTGCCCCATATTGAGGAAAATAGGCCTCTTTGAAACTTCCACCTGCTTCTTCTCATTGTGCCAACTGAGCGTGCTTCCATTATATATTTTGAGAAAGGTTTCCCCTAAGTTTTTCCTTATTCAAAATCAAATGTCTCTATTCTTTTCACTAATCAAAATGGAAAGAAGTTAAGATGCTGGGAAAGTGTTATATATGCAAGCAGAAGTGAAGAAATATTTCCTGGATCTCCATCAATAGGTCTTGATAGAAATCATGATTCCTCAGGCACATAATTCATCTTCAAAATGAACAGTGCAAACGTCAATAGGATGCTGTATTTTTCATTTTTTCCCCCAAGAAAATCTAGCCTCATGTTTTTCGTTTTTAGAAAGTGGTCATCTAAGGCACCAATCATTTTTGGACCTCTGAAATACCAGCTTTTGTTGTGGAGGCTATGTTGTTGCTGGTGGTGGTGTTTAAATAAACTCACAAGGACAAAATTTCATCCATGACATGCTCGTGACGGGTCACAAATTCTTCCCTGAGGCTGGTCCTGGATCTGAATTTGAAGACGTAGGCCTGCACATCCTGAGCGAGGCCCTCCTGATCCAAGAGTCTCCTTGTCAAAACTTGCTGACCTGCGTCTGCCTGGAGTCTAGGGGTCAGCTGGCCAATCTGTTAAACTACGTGATGCTTGTGGGAGGGGCCTCGGGCTGTCACCGTGCTCCCCTGGGAGCATCTCAGCTGTGGCCTTGTCCTCCCAATCGCATCTCCCACCCCATCTCTGCCCCCGTTCACCCCACGCTGTTCTGCTCACCACAGTGCCTCCCTGCCCCTCTGGATGCAGTTAGCATCCATTAGCATTTCACAAGACAAAGCAGGAAGGTTCCAGTCACAGAGGAATCACGGTATCACAGAAGGTCATCTGACACTTACCCCATCTTTTCTCCAGCTTCCGAGCACGAGATTGGGCAATCAGCTTACACATCTTTAGAGAGAATATGATTCTAGAAGCTGCAATGGCAGTTTTACTTCGTCCTGGATATAATAGGGCTCATTCAAGGCAGCTGGTGTGTGAGGACAGCTCTGGGGGTCATTCATCACCTGCAGCCCCCGCTGCCTCCCCACAGGCCTGTGTGTGGCAGGGACGTTCAGTCACGTGTCTGCTCCTCAACCTTTGGAACCATCTTCATGTCCAGCCTACTCTTGCTCTACCGAGTCATCGTGTGTCTGTTCGTGTGGACTTGGAGCCAAACCCCCTTCTTGAACTGGGTAGCAAGAAAGTCATGTGTCAAGTCCACAGGAGGAGAAAGGAGAGAGAGGAAACTCAGAGAAAGGAACAGAAAGTGAAAGGCAAAGAGTCTCTTACAGAAATACTTAGAGATTGAATTCTCATGGACTATCTGTAGGACATTAGCCAATCGCTGGACATCTTGTCTTCAGTTTCTTCATCTGTAAAACAAGGGACATAGGGTTTCGTGGTTGGTGAGTTCCGCTTGGCTTCTGTGACCCCATGACCAGCTACATGTGAGACAAGATTGGCGGAACTCATCCCACATGCCTCCTTTCTTCCCCTGCCATCTCTCCCTACTTTCAATTAAAGAGAAAAGTCAAAGGAATACGTTTCTATTGTTAATTTTTGGTCATGTTCCAAGCATCTCTTTTTGAATTATTTTTAAGTTACGATGTTTGTTATACACTCAGTGTTTTAATCTTTAACACACTAACCCATTCCCTAAATGTCCCCTTGGAGTTTAAGGAACATTTCTAAACGGGTTAAAAATTATTCCATAAAGGTTAAAAATTGTTCTACCTTCCTGGCTCAGTCGGTAGAGCGTGCAACTCTTGATCTCTCGGGGTCGTGGGTTGGAGCCCCACATTGGGCATGGAGCCTACTTTTAAAAAATTGTTTCCTAAAACAACTTCATACTTCAAGCTTGTTACTGCTTGTTGCTCACTTTGCATGAGCTCTGCCAGGCGCCAAAGGCACCACATCAAACATCATCATTGCTGGTCCCTGTTCTTTTCAAGATCGGCTGCTCTGCTAAAGTCTGGGCTTGTTGTCCTAAGCATGATGGCTTAATTACAAAGGAATTATTTCCTTCATTGGGTTTTCCAATGGGAAACCTTGACTTTTAAAAACATTCATCTGATTTATTTTCTGATTGAAAAAATGTTCTTTCATCTGCATCAACTGAATTATTTGTAGCTGGAAAAGAAGAGTTTTGCTATGACCAACTGAACTCAGATATCACCGGAGGGACACCTTTTAGCCTTAGAGAGTTCCCTTTTTTTTTTTTTTTAACAGTGCGATTAGAATACGTTGCAGAAATATGCTGCTTCTGCAAAGAGCAGAATGTTCATTGGACCTTCTTTTTTGTTGCTGTCATTAAACAGGAAACTGTTAAGGATAATTCACTTCTTTTTATGCCAAATGTTTTGAAAGTGTATCTGGAAAATGGGCAGACCAAATCATTTCGCTTTGACTGCAACACCTCCATAAAGGTAAGCGGACCCGCTAAACTCCACGTGGACACTGGCAGGTATGGCTTGCAAGTCCCACTGTCCACCTTGTGTAGCAGCACCTTCTTTCAGAACTATGTTTATTTCTGAGATTTTTTTTTGGTTGTTTCCAAATAAGGTAGTGTGTGAATACTTAAAAACAAACTGGAGAAAAAAAGCTTAAACTAAGAAGGTTGTGCTGTGTGTGTGTGTGTGTTGCAAAATGATATGATAGGCTCCCAGTGACGAACCACTAGGGCTAGTCATTTTAACGCAGCTCCAGTTTAATTAAAAGAGTGTGACTGTCCCCAAGAAGGCTTGGCACCCTGCCTAAAGCCAGAAGGATTTCCTAGCAATGTCAGCCCCCAAGAAGATTAAGATGCTAGCTCTTAATTGAATATCTGCTCCTTTGGTGTCCAGCAAAAACAAGAGGTAGGATAATATAAAGATAGCGTTTACGTTTAATTACTGTAACCAATTTCATGGAAATGACGCCTAAAAAGACAGAAATGAGGCATGCTTCTTAGGAGAAGGGGTAAAAAGGAAGAGTCACAGAACAGTCCTATTATTGCAGAGCCACAGGTGAGTTTTACAAAATGGGTATTATAGCAAAGCAGATGGGTTCTTTCCCCCCATACCTCCTTCCTGGGAAAAAAAGTGCATATTCTATTTTTTATTGGACAAAAGTGTGTGCAGAAATTGATTACTCCCTAACGCTCCAGCAGCCTAAAATAGGCTTTCTTCAAATGGCACCATAAAAGAGATTTTATTGAGGTTTTAAAAAAAAGTACCTAGTGATGATCTGTATAATAATGTATCAAGAGAATATCAAGTCTGTATTAAAAACGTCTGTCAATAGTCAACCCCTAATTCTCGGTTTTGTAAATTAGTCAGCATAGACCTTACGAGTGGAAGCATTTCTGCAAAGGCCCGCTCCCTTATTGCCATGATACCAACAAGCAGCCTGTTTGGAATTGCTTTAAGTAGGTGCTGATGTAGCAGGTAATAGAGCAGACGGTATTCTAGACTAATGATGGAGCCGATAAGCCATCCTTAAATCCTTCCACATTGAACCATCAACTTCGTGCAAGACCACTCATTTCAAATGGGGGTGACTGACAAAGTCCTTTTCCTTTATTCCTACTCAAAATTCATGTATGGCAAGGTGTTACTCTTATTATTGATCTGCTAGCCTAGAGGTGGGCAGACTTCTGGAAGGAAAGTAAGTATTTCCAGCTCTGAGGCCTATTTGGTCTCCCTTGAAACTACTCTGCTCTGTTATATCAACAAAGCAGCCATAGATGGTGGGCTCAGGAGGCCCTTAAGCCCACCCTTCAGTTCCATAATTCACTTGAAGGACTTGCAGAACTCAGCAAATTGTTATAAGCACAGTTACAAGGTTGTTGGTTTTTTTTAAGATTTTATTTATTTATTTGAGAGAGCGAAAGCGAGAGAGATCACAGAGCAAGAGGGAGGAGTAGACTCCCTGCTGAGCAGGGAGCCCCATGCGGGGCTCGATCCCAGGACCCCGAGATCATGACCTGAGCCGAAGGCAGACGCTTAACCGACTGAGCCCCCTGGGCGCCCTTACAGTTTATCACAGCAAGAGGATCCCAGTTAAAATCAGCAGTGGGCAAAGGTGCATAGGGCAGGAGAGTTTCCCAACCTACAGTTTCCCAACGTCCTCTTCCTGTGGAGTCCTTCGGACCTTGCTTATTTCTCCCAGCAATCACACGTGACAACATGTGTACGGTACTGTTAACCACGGAGGTTCACCTGAGCCTCGGTGTTCAGAGTTTTTGTCAGAGGTTGGCCACATAGACAAGCTGAGCCCCCGTGGGGCTGACTCTAGTATCCTGCTCCTCCAGAGGTCATGCTGCTATCACTTGGCCCAAGGTCCTCACGTTGTTGGCATAGGCTCTCTGCTCTCTCTCAGGCTCTCAGGTGAACAGACACTCCTATCAGGCACTACACTCCAAGGGCTTACAGCTTATCTCCCAAGAGCCAGGAGCAAAGAGGCAAACCTTGCTTTAGGCAAGACAACTCCTTTCCTACCCAGACAATATGTAAACGATGGGCGTGGCCTGATTGAACGCTAGGGCCAGGCCATGGTTTGCAGAGCCCCAAGGTAACCCATAGCGCCACATTATTAGAACCCCCTCTGCCACCACGGCTTGGTCTATGATACCACGTGGTCAGAAAAGCTCCTTGCCCTTAGACCCCCACCCCCATCTGAAGATACAGGTCAAGACTTGAATGCACTCCTTCACAGAAATACCTCTAAATTTCAAAGAGAGCCCTGTTGTTAATTCCCTCTGGCCTCTTTCTTAGGAACCCACACTAGAGTGAGTTTGATTTCCCTGAGGGTGACGAACAGCGATGAGAAGACAGGGAACAGCAAATTCAAGCTTGCTTTGCTTGTACCTAACAGCTTTACTATCGCCGCAGACACAGGTTGGGAGGCGTAAAATAGAAGGAGTAGAGTTATGAAAGGGATACAACACTGTTTAATAAAAATTGCCAAAATTCTTGCTACAGAATCACAGCAAGGAAAAACTTGCTATCGATTTTCCCGTGTCCTCCCTGGTGTTTCAGGAGACCATTTTATAAAATATGTGTTGCCACACAAAGGCTGCTTTTGTTTTTTCTTTTCTGGGCCTTGAACAAAATTTATGACACAGAGAATCTTTTTATGAAATTCAATATATAGTCAAGGCATTTCTGTTGAATGATGTCTGTGGTGGTGAGTGGGTGTGGGGATCTTTGTTTTAAAGGGGCCTGGAGAAGCGCACCGGGCTGGCTCAGTCGGTAGAGCACGCCACTCTTGATTTTGGGGTTGTGAGTTCAAGCCCTACGCTGGGGGTAATGTTTACTTAATAACAAAAAAATAAACAATAGCAAAACAACCATTAAAGGGGTCTGAAGAAATTGAGAAAGGTCTACAGGGAAGAATCAAAATTTCAAAAAGATCAGTTAAAAAAAAAAAATAGAAAAAACCTCTGTGTACTGCAGAGTTTTTCTATCTTGGCATTGTTGATACTTTGGACCAGGTAATTCTTCATTGTGGGGCCTGTCCTGTGCACTGTAAGATGCTGAGCTGCATCCCTCGATATCGATAGCAGCCCCAACCCCCTTGTGACCACCACAAATGTCTCTAGAAATTACCAATTGCTGTGAGGTAGAATTGCCCCGGGGTGGAAAAGCACGGCTCTTTGGGATTTTTAGCATCTGAGTATAAATTACCTTGAAGAGAGACCATTTACTAGTTTTTGAGTACATGAAAAAAATGTGGGGTTTTTTTTTTTCATTTTCAAAGACATCTGTTTTGCATTGCAGTAAACATGTGCTTGTGTATAGAACACCTATCTGATCATAAATGTTTAATCCTGTAAAGGATTGCTAACAAAGCTTGCTCGTTCTACTTTCCCCAGGGATTTAAAGTAAAAGCTAATATGTGTACATCATTATAGTGCCCTAACTCTGTATCAAATAGTGCTACAATAAATGTGTTCTATGTGTGAACTCATTTAGTCCTTATATCTATTCTGAGGCAGGTATTAGTATCATCCCCAGTTTATAGATAAGGACATTAAGACACTTAGAAGTTAAATAACTTGCCTAGAGCTGCGCAGCTAACATGAAGTCGAGCTGGGAGTAGAAACCACTGTTTTCAGAGCCCACATTCCTGACCACTATCGCATGCTCTTACCAGGAGAGACTATGGGCACCTGAGTGGCTCAGTCGGTTAAGCATCTGACTCTTTTTTTTTTTTTTTAAGATTTCATTTATTTGAGCGAGAGAGAGGGAGAGCACAGAGGGAGGTTAAGAGGGAGAAGCAAACTTCCTGCTGAGCAGGGAGCCCAATGTGGGTCTCGATTCCAGCACCCGGGGATCATGACCTGAGCCGAAGACAGAGGCCTAACCGACTGAGCCATCCAGGCACCCCACATCCGACTCTTGATTCTGGCTTAGGTCATGATCTCAGGGTCATGGGATCAAGCCCCGTGTCAGGCTGTGTGCTGAGTGTGAAGCCTGCTTAAGATTCTCTCTCCCTCTGCCCCTCCCCTTGCCCCCTCCCCTGCTTGTGCTCTCTCTCTCTTAAAAAAAATTAAGAAAAAAAAAATCAAAAACAAAAAACCAGAGGTATAGACTAGGGGTCAGCAAACTTTCTCCGTACAGGACCAGATAGCAAATATCTTAGGCTTCACAGAGCACACAGTCTGTTGCCGATGCAAGGGGCAAGAGCAGCTATAGACAATACATAAACAGATGAGTGTGACTGTGTTTCAATAAAACTTTATTTACACAAAGAGGTGGTGGGCTGGATTTGGCATACAGGGGGTATTTTGCCCACCCCCTAGAGTAGACCACTTTCCGAGGTGGTTTCATTGCCGCCCCATTTGGAAGAAAGGGGACCCGAACCAACTCCACTCCACCATCTATTGATCAGTCTCTAAGTTCAGTAAGCACCTCCTCCAGCTAGTCAACTTGTTGCCTCCCTGTTTCTGAACTCCATAATGATCTGGGGTGGCGGGTGAGGTCAGGAAAAGGAGCATCAAGCTTTGGAATGAACCAAAGGCATAAAATGTAAAGATCTGAAGCCTATTTGCGCAACACTTTTCAGTCCTGGTAAACTCTGCAAGAGAGCTATGCTGATTTTGATGGCATCTTGTCCATGTTTCCTCTGTAAGGATGTCATCTTGACTCTTCAAGAGAAGCTTTCCATCAAAGGCATCGAACACTTCTCCCTGATGCTGGAGCAGAGGACGGAAGGGGCTGGAACCAAGCTGCTCTTGCTTCATGAACAGGAGACTCTAACTCAGGTGTGTGAAATTACACCCCCAGGTGAGGTCAGAGGCTGCCCGGCCCCAGAATTCCCCTGTCCTCGAATCCTTTAAATGTACTCACTGCAGCCGCGTGTATCCCCACTAACGAAAGCTCTGGCATTCATAATGGGTTTTACATCTCAAGGTAATGGTTCCCTTTTTTGTCCATTTTTCATAGACTGTCTGTCAGTTGATGTCACATACAGAATTGTCAAAAACCCAGCAACTACTGGCTGGGAATATGGCTCCGTAGGATCATATTTTATGTTATGGGAAATGACTGTTAACCTGTTTTGACCATTGATCTCTTGAAACCCTTAAAAAGAAACAGCTTCTGAGATTACTTAAACGAAGCCAACATCATATTTCATTGTCTTAAGTTCTGGGTGCATACTCGGAACCAACATCATATTTCATTGCCTTAAGTTCTGGGTGCATACTCGCGACTGTTTGTGGAAGCTTGAAATCCCTGCCCCAGTGCTGCCCACTGTAAATATGTGATCCGCCAATGCGTCCCAGTTCCTGCTTTACCAAAATGCCACCCCCTTCTGTTCGCTCGGGAGACGAGCAGGCTACTTGGCTGCTGAATTCAGCGTGGCACCCTGACTTCTCTTGTGATTCGACACAAGCCGAGTGTTTGCTGGAAGTATAAGGGGTTTCAACATGCTCCTTTTGTGTGGGAGAGCTCAGTGATAAGGGAACTTTAGGGAGGGAGAGGGACATGCAGGGAGACCAGGAGGAGAAGCAAGGAGTCAAGGTGCCCCCAGATGGATAGAGTAGCTGAAGGTGTTGTCACACTAAAGTGCTTCCTGGTCGTTGCATAACTAGAAGCTGGTGTCCCGCAAGTTTGCTCCCACAATATCCCTAAACCTCTTGATTCAGTCCAACTCAGTGCAGGGAATTAGTTACAAAGCTTTCATTTGTGTTCATTTATAGCCCTCCACCTACATTTCACCTATATTTACCAGTTTTAAATCGACCTATAGATATTTGAAATCACGTCTCGTGTTGTTTATTATTTTAACCTGTGCCTAAACTCCCTTGGAAACAGAGGACTTCTTTTGTACTTGGCTCTAGGGGAACAAGCCCTGATAATCAGAATCCCCCATGTGAAAGGTCATTGTCTGGCTTGGAGTTCCTCCAGACGCCGGACTTAAGACAAGGGCTTGGGGGCACGTGGCTCTTTGGGAGGTGATACTGGGAAGCACTGGCAGAGGATGAAGAAGGGAAATGGGAAAAACAGGGGCGCCAGTAGAGAGCGTGGTAACGAGCCAGTTTCCACCGTGGGCCGCTGGACCTCAGTCCTACTGGGGAGCGCTGCAAGCCAGTGGAGAACACGCCTAGAACATACCTGGGAGGTATCCCACCTAAGCAGCGGGGCGTGGGGGCATTTGTCCTTTGGTGGTGGTGGTGGTGGTGGTGGTGGTGGTGGGCTGCTCCCGAGGGCAGTCGCTCCCCGGCTCTGCAGATGCCTGGTGCCGGCCGATGGTCACAGGTATTTGCAGTGAGCAGCCTTCAGCTGGTAGCGGTAAATGCCAAGGGCCTAGGGGCCGACAGCCAGTTGGTGTGAGTCTAATGAAACCTCCCACAACTTTCTGATATTTGCGGTTAGACGTTCCCTCTGAACTTCTATCTACTACATAGCCTCTATGGGAAAACTGCTTGCTGATGATTTTAGCTGGACAGAGATCCTTTCAGAGTCTCTTTGGGTGCTGGGTACACATAATTTCTCATTCCAGATTGATTTCCGTTTATTAAATCTCCATTAGAATGTTAGGAGGAAACAAAAAGCCCCTAACCCTGATTCTTCCCTTATCTTTCTAGAAGAGGCTTTGTTTCAAGTTTAGCCAGAACTAAAAGCGAAGTGTTAAAACTTCAAGTATGCTCTCTAGAAAGAAAACTGTTTGATTTAAATCTCCTGAGACAAACCAGCTATATGCCTCTGAAATCACTGCTTATGAAAAGCTTGATCACCAGAATATTTATAGGCATGGCAGAAAGGGAGAGTAAGTATAAGAAATGTGTCCAATAACAAAAATCATTTAAAACATTCAATTTTGGTGAAAACCCTCAAAAGAACTTTTAAACAGCTCTGAGTTTCTGGCAGCTTATAACTAAACTTTACATAGAAAATACTATTGTCTATTTACATACTACTGTAAGTTTCGAGCAAATTGTTTTCTTGTTTGTTTTAGGGACTATTCTTTCTATGGACTGCGTTTTCTAATGAGTCTAAAGCGCTTTTTTTGCATTACATGATTTCTCAAAACTAGTGCAGCCTCCTGATGATGAAAGTAGACTCAAGATCGCTTGTGGAAAATTCGGGAAAGATAGATTTTTAACCAGTAATGTAATGAAATGATACCCGACTTTCTAACCTCAGCCCAGACCTTCTGACAAAATACCCTATGACGTCACTGTACAACGCCACAGCAGGCCTGAGCAGCACTTTGGGTCTCTTTGAGTTCCCACATTTTCTTCTTCCTGGTTTGGTTGACCTTCAGCTGGTGATGAGCAGCCCCCAGCCCATGGGCTGGTGAGTCCACTCAGGTCTGTAATCCCACCCACAGCCAAAAGCTGGGTCAGTGTTACTACTTTTCAGTATGCCTTATACCTTTAAAAGGAGTGTTTTCCCACTGAAATTCTTCAGCTCAACAAAATTAGCAATGTCAACTGGAAGAATGCGCGTGCGCACACACAACATGGGGTTCAGTAAAGCTATTGCTATTTTTATTTTGAACTTTCAGTTGCCGTTCACCAACATTTTTATTTTGCTAAATTTGTCCTCTGTAACAAAGGAGTTACAAGGCCATGAAGCTACGTACAGATACACAGAAAAGCACACACAAGTACATGAAACTACAAGTAGAGCAACTGTTGGTTCATGGTGCATGGTTCAGGTGCATCGTGTTGACCTCTCTAAGGGAAATCAAAGAGCTTTTACCTTCTTCCTTGGAGTCCAATGTCTTGTATTCATTTGGCTGTTTATGAAGCACCTACTATTACATTGGCTGATTCCCTTCAGTTGCAAAAGGAATTAAGAGGGGCGCCTGGGTGGCTCAGTCATTAGGCATTTGCCTTCGGCTCAGGTCATGGTCCCAGGGTCCTGGGATCGAGCCCCGCATTGGGCTCCCTGCTCCGCGGGAAGCCTGCTTCTCCCTCTCCCACTCCCCCTGCTTGTGTTCCCTCTCTCTGTGTGTGTCTCTCTCTGTCAAATAAATAAATAAAATCTTAAAAAAAAAAAAGGGGGAATTAAGAAACGTAACACCTAGTAGTTGGCCTACACTGTACTGTAAAAGAGGAAAACAAAACGATCCATGGTCCTTAGCCCTAAAGAACCTGCGGTGTATTCTAAGCTCCCTTGAACAACTTGAACAGTGTCCTGTTATTGAAAGTTTGGGGTAGTTTGGAAACTTGTGGACTCCAGATTTAGTGCTCGGGCCAAAACTTTTGTTTTCTGACTTTCCAATGCATTGTCATCCAAGGTTGACACGGTCCTGCCTTCCCTGCTGCAGTCAGTCTGGAGTCTCATTTAGAAAAAACCCACAGCTGTGTCATACAGTAATCCCAGTCTCTGTGCTCTCCCTCCAGATCCCCTTTTCGACCCCCCACCCGCACCCTGGTTTTGGTGCGCTATCACTTCCGGCACCAGCATCTTCGGATCTTCTTCAGAGGACTGCCTCTAGACTGCGGTAGCCCATTCTGTCCGCGCCTGGAAATTCACATCCCCCTGGGACAGCCTGAAACCAATGGCTGATCTGCGGTCCTTTGGCTCAGGTCCTGGTGGCTCTGCAGTGTAGATGATCCTCCTGAGTCCCCTGTGGGTCAGGCTGTAGCTGCCCACTGCTGCGCACTCTGCCCTTCCTTGGCTCCTCTCCTGCCTGACCTGCTCCCCCCACCCCCTTACCGGTCTCTCCCAGAAGCAGTTCCTTAGTAGGTCCCTCATCTCAGGGTTGGCTTCTGGGGAACATAACCTAGGATACGTGCGGCTTTCAGGGAGTGAGTATCTAGGACACATCATAAAAGAACCTTGACCACTTCCTTCCTTGGTGTTAAAACGAAGTTGCCCTTTGCTTCTGCGTCCCTGTGCTGGCACTGAAGGATTCTTGTGTTTGGTCTGATCTTCTAGGTGACACAGCGGCCCAGCTCCCATAAGATGAGGTGTCTTTTCCGAATTAGCTTCGTCCCAAAGGATCCAATTGACCTTTTGAGGAGAGATCCAGTTGCTTTTGAATATCTCTATGTTCAGGTATGTGAGAATTTGAGCACGTTTTATATTAATATTGGGGGATAAATTAAATGTGGCATTTTTGCCCCTAAATTCTTTCATTTGGGATCTTCTGTCTTTGTCCCCCACCCCATGCTCCATGCATTGTGAAATGATTCCATGGTGTTTTTTTTTAATTTTCCCTTTGGATTTTGAAATCATTTCATACTTAAGAGAAAGTTGCAAGAGTAGTAAAAGAACTCTTTGATAATCTTCACCCAGATTCACCAGTTGTTCACATTTTACCATATTTACTTTATCTTTAGTGAGAACACATGTTCCCCCGTGCGTGCACGCATGCACGCGCACACACACGTTACTTTTCTAAACCACATGAATGTCATTTTCCAAATCCTGCTCATTTACCCCTAACTACTTTGGTGTGTATTTCCTAGTAGCAAAGACATTTTCTTATATAATCATAGCATAACTAACAAAATAAGAAAATTTAACACTGATACATTTCTGTCCTAGTGTACAATCTATATCCAGATTTTGCCTACTGTCCCCAAAATGGCCTTTTTCTTCTAGAGATCCATTTTCTTCTAGAACAGGATCCACGCCAGGATCTCATTTTGCATCTAGTTGTCATGTCACTTCAATCTCCTTAAGTCCAGAATATTCCTCAGCCTTTCTTTGACTTCCAACACCTTGACGGTTTTAAGGAGCACTGGTCAGTTATTTTGTAGCAATCTCTCAATTTGGGTGTCTGTGAGGTTTTCTCCTGATTAGGTTGAGGTTATATTATTTGGGCAGAATAAAAACATGCATGACTTCATGTCCTCATTAGCGCACCACATTGGGGGGCATATGATGTCCGTTTGTCCCCGTAATGGTGAGGTTAACTTTGACTCTTGGTTACAGTGATGTTCTCCAAATTTATCCATTCAGAAGTTACTAGTTTTTTTGTAATTAATAAGTAATTTGTGGAGAGGCACTTGGCGACTCTCTTAATACTCTTCCACTCACTGGTTTTAGTATTCACTGATGGTTCTTGCCAGAATCCATTATTACTGCAAGGGTTCAGAATGATGATTTTTCTAATTCCATTATTTCTTCTTCATTTATTAATTAGCATTCTACTATAAAAAAGATTTTCTTTCCCTTCTCCTTTATTCACTCATTTATTCATTCACTTTTTTTTTTTATTTGGTGCTTCGATTGTTCTGAAATGTGATATTCCTTATAACGGAATAATTAATTTCAAGGCAATAGGACTTTAAGAAAATAGTATCTTTTGCAGACTGACTATCTCCAGTTCTGGGTTATAATTCTCAAAAAACAAGGCTTCAAGAGATGAGAATCTGCTAGTTTGCCCCAGAGGGAATTTATTCGTTTGACATTTAGGAGATGTTCCTGTATTTTTCCGGAACTGCTTCCCATTACTCTCACTTAAATTCCCAGTACACTCACATTAAACAGTAAGAACCCGTTTACCTGAAGTTTAAGCATCTCACATTAGATCTACTCAAAGAGATTGTAAACCTAAATGTAACCTCCCCTGACAAAAAAAGGAGAAAATGCCAAAGCAAGGCAAAAAAAAAAAAAAAAAAAACATTAGACATGCTCCCTCTGGCTGGCATACCTGTATAAGGCAAGGATTTCTGGAGCCATAAGAAATAAAAAGCAAAGAAGTTGGAAAAAGAAACCTTTGTTAATTCTAGGTAGTTGATACACTGGTTTTTGTTTTCCTATTCTCAACACTTTCTTGTATATTTCAAAACTTCTGTGGGCTTTAAAAAGTTGAGTGGAATAAGAAAACAGGTAGAAGATGCCGGAGAGACATAGACAAGATAAATGCCAGAGGTTAGGAATGGTGACATAAATTAAAGTGGCAATAAGCGCTAGAGAACAGAAATTAAGTTGAAGGAGAAAAAAAGCAGAATATGTACCAGAACATTCCAGCAGATGGGGCACTAAGGGCAAGACCCGCTTAAACATTCCCCACCTCAGTGGTCTTTGGAAGAGACTGTGGTACTTGCAGCTCAGTAGGATGATTAATGTTCATGAAGATAACCCTGTGTCATTTGGAAAAGGCAAGTCCTATTCAGCATACCCCGTTCATCAAGTAAAGAAATGTGTGGTGCACCTCACACCGTTTTCTACCCAGAACAGCGAAACTGTCATGACCTGGGTTTTTTAAATGTTCAACTTTGGTCACCTGGACCCCTCAACTCTACACCCCCTTCCCTGGCAGGCCGAATAACCCAGATGTGACTGCCTCATCCCTCTCTTCCTGCGGAGACCCAACCCTGGGCTCTGCCATAGCAGCTCAGAGGATACGCTAGGTCTTTTAGCTTGTTAGTCGCAAGGAAATAGTTATAGGTGCCAGTCAGCGCATCGGATGCATTCACTTGTCATTCCCTATAATCACGTATGCCTCCCGTTCACAAGATGATGTTTCCAAACCATTTTACTCTGCTCCTCTTTTAAGCATCCCATTTAAAAATGCCCGTTGCATTTACAAAAGAGGAATGTGGTTGTGTTTCCCGTGCAGAGGGCCAACGTCTTAGGTAGACCAGGGGTACTGCTGAGCACGATTCTTTTTTTAAGGCGTGTCTACTCAAATCTGACACAGTGCACAGAGAGCTTCCTTATTCAAAAGATACACTTTTTATACCTGTGGGACCGCACTAAGAAGCGGAAAACCTGGCCGGCGATCTTGCCCAGGGCCTCGAAAAACACGGATGACGTTTCTGCTTTCCCACCTTGGCTGTTGCATGGCTGGTGGGCTAGCCAGTCACCCCTTCAAGGAGTAGCCAATGGAGGGAGGGAGGAGGGTGGGAAGCCATGTGTGGTGGACCAAAATTAAGCCACCATCATCTCCCAGGTCCTCCACCGAGAATAGGAAATGAGAATTTCTTGGCATCAGACTCTGTATCACAGAATGTGAGGTATGTCTGAAAAAACTTATCTGTCTGACATAAATCAGTGGATCTGCAAATGGTGCTGGGTGCCCATATCGATTCTAAGGCACTAAAAAGATGCAGTAAAATTAGCCTAGAGAACAAAAGAGTAAACAAAAACGATATAGATCATATTACAAAGACCAAACTCCATTCAGCTTTGTGGGTACCTGATGAGGACAATAGCCGTTGACTCTAGAGGAACCACGACAATGAAAACAGAGGTACTATCCGCCAACCTCCCACTCGCTAATGGGCTGTGAGGTGTTTGACAGATTTTAGCATATAGAGTAACAGAAAACCCTAACCATTCAGACTGTTGAAGTTCATGATTACCTGTCCGCTATCTAGGAAGAAAAAGATGGTTACAGTGATTCGTAAACAGGGCAACACCTAAGAGGCTACAGAATGTTTTAAAACATTTGGTGCAGCGTTGGTTTCCTTTTTAATATCTAACATGTCCATTGTAAATGAACTTTCTTAGGCCTAAGTGGAGTCTGTGATGTGAGGACCTCCATTCAGCAAAACCATGAGCACCATTTGCTTGTGTTGACTGTATTCTAAGTCCTGTAGTTATGAGTAATAAAAGCATGATCTGTCCCACACAATATATATGTCAGACTTCACACTAATTCCCCAGGATCCATCTGAACTAATTATATAATGTAATTAAGTGACTAATCACCTTGACAAAAACATCACCCAGAAGTCTGGTTAAACACCGGGTGTGAAAAGGGTGGGAAACAACAGTCCCAGTCACAACTCTTCGGAGAAGTAACAGTGGTGACTCACCCTAATAAAGCGCATTCCAGTTTATGCAACATCCTTAAGAGGTGTGCCAGCAACCTTGAGGGTTAGCCCGCTTTTCAGGTAGGAAAACAGACTTGAGAGATGAAATGCCATGTTCGAGGTCATTCTATTAGTAGTTGACAGAGCCTAGGCTCAAAGCTTTTGTCTCTAAGTCCTATGCTAAAATCCTGTTTCACACGTGACATGCAATAGCAGTCCTAGGAGAAAGCCGTTTATTAAAATGATTCAGCAGCAAGCATCAAGGGCTTGTGATGGCCTGGCACTGTGCCCGGGGGCTTCCCCCACCTCCCCCTCACAAGAGCTCCACCCCATGGTGCCCCTTTATGGACACCCCTGGGCACTGGGAAGTAACTGAGAAACCCAAAAGTAGAACAAAATGGCAGCCTGGAATGGCACTCAGAGGGGGCCTTCACTCAGCCCGCCCTGTGTCCCGCCCCCTGTCAGACCTGCTTCCAGCGAGGAGTGCTTGCGGTCCTGACAGGTGTAAGGTGTGAAGGAGAAGCAAAGGTAGAAGACCGTCTGAAGGATGGAGGCAGGGAGAGAATGGGACTTCCCTCCTAGGGGTGAAGGGATAAGCCGAGAGGCACGAACCTGGACCGTGGGGACAGAGCATGCGTTGTACAGCTCCACTAGGGCATGGGTAAGTATTTGAAGGGTAAATATTGTGCGCAGAAACCATATAGCAGTACGTGCTCGCACTGAGTCAAGTCAACATAGGAAGGGGTCACAAATGTGCTTTTCTTGGAAAAGAGCCAAACAGAGTCTGAGACAGTTTTTGCATTTGAAATCTCGGAACAAGGCAAACAAGGAAGAAGGAGGCTAAATATCATATTTTCTAGTCCAAAAGCCTAGTTTTCCAGAACAAAAATGCATGCGCACACATAGGCAGAATGTAATGAAACAATGCCGTGCTTCCCGGCGATGTGCAGCTCCGTGCTCTGCTCCTAACGAGTGAGCACACTACTGGAAAGCCAGTCACTGGGGTCACACAGGACTTGGCACGTTTCTCAGCCCCTCTTCAATTTGATGCTCATCACCCTGTGATGTAGGTCGGTCTCCAAACACAGGTGCCGCAATGGAACACGCAAAGCACGGACAGCACCACGTGCCTGTCCTCTTACAGATGAGCAAACTGAGGCCCAGGGATATGGGATGACGGCGTCAGAGTCCCAGCAGGGGCAGGCACCACTGGAATGAACCGAGGATTTCAGTAGCAGCCCTTTACCGAGCGCACCAGTGCACTGCGATGATACGTAGCTCATTCAGTCTTGGCACCACCCCCAGTGAGGTCGTTGGCATGAATCCCCATTGCACAGATGAGTAAACTGAGGCTGCGAGAGGAAAGTGGTTGAAGTTACCTGCGCAGGGGGCATTGGTGAAGCCAAGATTCAGAAGCAGGGGGGTGTGAGTCCAGAGCTGCTCCTGTCCATTGCCTTGCTAACTCCACCTCCTGAAAGCTGCTCGAGATAGCGAAGAGGAAGTTAAAGACGTTAGTGATGACAGCCGTGTACGCCTACAAACCCTTAAAACGTACCAGGTAGAGTCCTAAGGGCTTTACGTTGTTCAGCCATTTAATCCTCACCATAACCCTGTGAATGGGGAGCAGTATTGTCCCCAATTTACAAAAGAGGAAACTGAGGCACAGAACAATTTAAGGAGCTTGCCCAAGTCCCCACCCCTCTGTAGTGGAAGAATAGGATTCGAACCCAGCATTCCAACCCCAGCAGAAGGCACGTGGTGCTGTCCGTGCTTTGCGTGTTCCATTGCGGCACCTGTGTTTGGAGACCGACCTACATTCCTATTATTCTTACAAAAAGCTAAGTATTTAAATAGCAGCTCACTTGTCGATGAATGTTGGATGTTTTGTGTGGTCTCTGTGTGTGTGCATGCAGCCCAGTTCAGACTGGGCTCCAAGTGGCCTGGTGGAAGTGTTTCCACGTTTGGCCTCCTCGTCTTTGAAGCCAAGGTTGGAACTGTGGGGAAGTGCAGGTCACCTGTCCCGGGGACAGCGTGCTGCGACCCATTCTTTGACCCATGGCGCCCTCTGCTGGTCTCTTTTTGCAGAGCTGTAACGACGTCGTACAGGAGCGGTTTGGGCCTGAGCTGAAATACGACATAGCCCTGCGGCTGGCGGCTCTGCAAATGTACATCGCAACCGTTACCACCAAGCAAACGCAGAAAATCTCTCTCAAATACATCGAGTAAGTGTTGAGCCTCAGAGCCGTTTCAGGCACAAGGATGCTGCCTCCGTAACGCCCAAGTGGGATTTTTGACGTATGTCTCTATTTCCAAAATTGATCTTGTTTGTGGAAGGGCTTTTGTTCAACATGGGCACAATGTATGAACATCATGTTCGTTTTGGGTGGAAGAGATCCACTTCTTACATAATCCACCTTTAGCGAATTGTGGTTAAAAGGAGGATCAGATTTCAAATGAAGCATACCTTTTTTAAAAGTCCTAAACGGACTTGATTCTAAGCCAAGCTTTGGTCTCCGTGCTTTTCAGACATGAAGGTCTTTGATTCTCATGACGTCCCTAGGAGTGCAGTAGCATTTTAGCTGTATTTTACAGATGAGCCAACCCAGGCACAGTAGGACAAGGGACCTTGCCCGAGTCACACGGCTACTAGCTAGAGGGCTCAGGATTCGAACCCAGGCGGTGCAGCTCCACATTGTGCTCCACGTTTGTGTGATCAGTGGAAGCTCCTGTGTTTAGAAAGTGGCCTGCATCACCTGAGATCGCTTCAGGGGGCTAAAGGGCAGTATCAAAGTAACACTCTCGGTCACAATCAGGAAGGATGGTATTGGTAGTAAAAAAAACTGTAGTGGTGGGAAAGGGTGCTACGTGATCAAACTTGGCTTTGGGATTCGAATGTTGTTTGGGAAACGTGACTGCCTTCTCTGGCTTGCCCTCAGCATATACTCCGACCTCTTTGGCCGGAGAAGATCCCCGCTTGGAAATAAGCAGTTTGTGTTGCCTTCAGTTAGGTCTCCTTAAGGGTGGCCCTTTCAAAGAGAAGCCTCTGTCACCCGGTCTGTTGGCTTCCCAGTGGTAGGTGATTCAGAAGCCTGAAGCCACCACAACTCTCTTAATCTTGGCAGCGCTGATGCTAAAGAAAGGAACGCTCATATTTCAAAGTTTATGGCAGGACTGAAGCCACATCTCCACCTAACACTAAAAGCCTTAGAGCCCTCTCCATCTGCACAAGTGATGTACAAGCTCATTGAAATCCCACCTTCCCAAGAAGCTTCCTGTGGGCTGCCTGTAAAGCCTTTCTAAATTCCCGCATGCCAGCCTGACCCACCAGGGAGCAAAGTGGCTTCTTCTCAACAGAGTTCGTGAGCCTGTGTGCGGGAGGATGAGAGCTCCAGGTCGCTGACTCCGAGACCTCTGTTCTCACGACGCTCAGTTCTCCCGTCTGCACCGAGGGACAAATCCTCATGTGCAGTTTGAGGACCTCAGGCCTTCCCTTCTTGGCCCACTCTTTGTTGCAGGTGGCTTATCTCTTTCTTGCCACACAGGCTGTGAGCGTCGCCTGAGAGAGACTCGGCTCACAGAGAGGTCTTACGCTCAGCTGGACACATTCGCTCCCTCATCCGTTCCCCTTTCGTACGTTCCTGGGCACAGATGATACTGGCCTCCATGTGAAAAGGCCTGAACAACCTGCCGTGGTTTTCAGACCATTAAAATGCATTTCTGTTCCGATTGTCTGTCCCCACATTTTACCAGTTGGAATATGGTACAGGCAGAAACCTCCCAGAGATAACTGGCTTGAGTAAGAATGTTCTCATTAATTAATTCACTCACCCAACACCTATTCACTGAGCATTTTATGTGGTATTCACGCTAGGACAGTGGAAAGTACAAATAAGCATAAATTATAATCCTGAGCATAAAGGACTTGTGATCCGATTATAAAGATATGAGGGGCGCCTGGGTGACTCAGTCGGTTGAGCATCTGACCGCAGCTCAGGTCGTGATCTGGGGATCCTGCTTTGGGCTCCCCACTCAGCGGGAGCTGCCCCTCCCCCTGCTCGTATGCATGCATGCACTCTCTCAAATACATCAATGAAATCTTTAAAAAAAGATATGAAAAGTTATGATTTAAAATACTGATACAAGTAGAATTACCAGGCACCCCATAAGGAGTGCCAGGTGATGGGTAGAAATATGTGCAAGTGGAGGAGGAGAAGGTGGACATGGTGATCATGAAAAACCCCACCTTAACTAGCGATGGCATGGATGGTCAAGTGGGGGAAGGCCGTCTCCCTACCCTTCCTTGGAGAGGATCTGGCACAGGAGAAATAACCAAACCTTGAAGGTCTTTACAGTATTTAGGAGACACAGGTTGGGCACCTGACCAATGAGGATAGAGTTCATAGAGTTCAAAATATGGAGCATTGTTGGGCTAGGGTTATAGTCATTGCTGGGGAAATGGATGGGCCCTTTGCAAACCTGTATTAATTAACCCAGTCCTATCTGTCTGTTTTTCTTGAATATGAACACCTATTGGTGACGTTTGTACCTCCCCATCAGTGCCACACATACTTAAGGGTCATGAACCCCACCCTGACTACACACACACACACACACACACACACACACACATACCAGCAAGAAGTGTTGCTTGAAGGACCTAGACAGACATCATCTGGCCAGCAGAGAAGAGACGTGTGTATTTCTAGTGAAGCAGCCATTGGGGAAGAGGAAGGGAAGAATGGTTTGGGCGTCTGAAGGAGTTGCATAGGCCCTTCTAAGTGAAGAGAGAATGACTGTATGGGCTGACGGGGAGTAGTAACAATGGCAATAAACAAAGGAACTGGGAGAAATTGTGTTGGAAATACATACTCAGGTATGTGAATGAATTCAGTGAGACTCCGAGGTAGGTTGGATAAATTGTCTCTTCAGTTCCCATTGGTCCCAAAGGCATTCTCCCTGGAGAGGGAAGAATATGTTTCCTTTAAAATGCAAACAGATGTATTACTGTTCAGATAGTATGTTTTCTGTGTGTAAACTCGAAGTTGCTTCCCTAATTGGGGACCTACCTCCATTTCCTGACTTCCTCAGAGTTCGTTTCTTCCAACATGCATCAGAGCGCCATTTTGTTGTAGATAACTAATCATCACCAGAATGTGAAATTAAAGATATGCTCTTTATTGCAGAAAAGAATGGGGATTAGAGACTTTTCTTCCCTCTGCTGTGCTGCAAAGCATGAAAGAGAAGAACATAAAGAAAGCACTTTCACACCTTGTCAAAGCAAATCAAAACTTGGTACCACCGGGTAAAAAGGTATCACATTTGCATCTTAATAGAAAATGGATTTTAAAGAGAAAGGCTTGCGTGCATTTTTAAAAATGTTTAAAATTAGCCCATGAATAAAATACTTGGCACCGTATTTTCATAGGCAGTAACTGTATAACCCCAACCCCCCCTTTTTCCCCACTATTAACCGGTTTCTAAGGCTAATGAAAAGTAAGTGTTCTTATGGAAACTTATTTATTTCTTGTCAGCTATGGACTTATTACACGGAGAGCGTATGTGTTCACGTGTGCGTGCAAGCGAACCTTGCATAGCCACTGAGACCTTGTGATTAGAGAACAGAATTGCAAGATAATTGTACATTTCCATCGTGCTCTTGCTTACCACTCAGACTGTCTTAAATGCACAGCAGCCAGCAAGGGTCCTCGCAGACCAGCTACCGCATTATTTAAACCAGGGTTGGTTTGTTGACATTTGGAATCATTCTTTGCTGGGGGAGGCAGAGGGCGGGGGGCCGTCTTGGGCCTTGTGTGATATTTAGCAGCACCCCTGGTCTCTACCTACAAGATGCCCTCAATCGTGACATAGAAAAATGTTTTTAGGCATTGCCAAATGGGCCCTGGGGAACAAAATCACCCCTGGTTGACAACCACTGAATTAAATCTTACTTTCGAAGGGAAGATAAAATTTTTTCTACCATTCACCATCGGTAGTGTTAAAGTCTCCCTTATTTTTTTTTTTTTATCAGAAGAAACAGAAAGGACATCTTAAAATAGATTGTGGGTCAGAATGGAGAGTTATGTTTATAGGCAATAAAAAGCAAAGGGTTTCAAGAACCAGAAAGAGGAACCTAAAAATACAGGATCTATAAAGTTGGAAGCAGTGTAACAGCCCGAGAACACTTAATGGTTGATATTGGCCATAGAAACTTGGGTGGCTCTAATACAAATCACTGTTTATATGGGTAATTCTTTGGTCTTGGTATTGGGTTATAAGTCATTTTTACTGGCTAAAACATACTTATTGCTATTCCCTTCTCACCCCATGGCTTTTTAAAAATGTAAAATCAGGTTTGACACCCTCCAGCCACTGTTGCCTTACTTCCTCATTTCTGTAAGCATTCAGCTCACAGAAATCTAGCAGAACGTCAAGGATCTCTCAGATTTTGTAGGGGTGCCGGGCTGGCTCAGTGGGTAGAGTGTGTGGCTCTTGATCTCGTGGTCATGATTTCGAGCCCCGCGTTGGGGGTAAAGATTACTCAAATAAGTAAACTTTAAAAAAAGAAAAAGATTTTCTTTTTTTTTAATTTCAGTTCTGATTGGCCCAAAGCTAGTTTCTTTCAATTGGCTCAATAGGATTTTTTTCCAGGCATGGCCCACTGGTTTTGTAACAATTCGGTTAACTGCTCTAGGATCTATCTATCTCTGCTTTTCTACAAAGGTCAGTTTCTCTAGCCAAGAGTGAGTGGTTTGCTTTCAAATCAATTTGCAAAGTGCTCTGGGTTTTCGAAAGGAGGATGGCCGAACAGTGCTAACTAACAATGCCATAAAGGGTCATGCATTTAGGTATAGTTAACAACCAAGTACTCCTTTGAGGATGTGGGAATCTCCCTTTTTAAGTCTTTAAAAGGTAACTTTTATCTGGATAAAATTTTATTTTTTATATCCTTCACAAAACTCAAAAGATGCTTGAGTTGAACTAATCAAATGGACTTCTGGCAAGTTCAAACATTTCCCCAATGATTGGAGCACAGAAAGTTCACTTTCCCTGAAAACTTGCAAAAACTCTACAAAACTCGAGATGAGTGTGGCGAGCCTCTTCCACGGGCTGTATGTAGATAGCAGGCGTGTGTTCAAAATGACTCCCACAAGCTCTGTGTATAGGTGAGTCTCCTATACACAACCTGCTTCGTCCCTACCCATGATTGGAAGGCACCACTCGACTCTTGGAGTCTCCAACGAGCGGACATTTCAGTGGAATATCTTAACCATCTTGTTCTCATTTGAGTGCCCTGGCCCAGCATATCCATGTTTATGACCCACCCACCCCCATGCATTTCCCCCCAGATAAAAGGCTTTAATCTGGATGCCTTGTTGCAGCCCTTTATCACGAAACCAAATACATAGCAATTTACTTTCACTCCTTGTCACGCCCCATCTGTTGGCAGTGAGAGCACTCCGGTTCCCACTGGTGTTTAGCTGGTCTCCAGCAGAAACCGAACCATACCCACTGGAATTAACACCTGAGGTTTCTTTTCTCTCCTCAGCTCTCTGCACTGCAAGCCAAGGTCCACTATCTCAAGTTCCTCAGTGACCTTCGACTGTATGGGGGTCGTGTGTTCAAGGCAACATTAGTGGTAATTGCTTTTTCTTGCTTTCTCTTGGGAGCTACGGAAGCCTGCAGAATGTCACTGCCATAGGCTGTCCTGAATGAGCTGCCTTTGACAAAAGCAAATCAGCTGTGAATCTTTTCCAGCCTTCATTTCTAATCGACTGCAGCACAGTCTGGAAATATCAGAAGAAATGTTAAACTAGATGGCGCCACTGCAGAATGCCCTAGAAAAAGAAATATGAAGAACCAAGATAATCGATGCACTCTAACAATGGCCTTCTTTTAAATCATTGGGCCAGAAGTTGCTTTCATGCTAAAAAAGAAAAAAGAAAAGTCCTTATTTCTAAAAGTGTCTCATGATTATGAATATATGTGCTATGATAACATTTATTTTCTACATTATTCATAATTGATCAGCACCTCGATGCAATTGTAATGTCTGGTTCTTCTAAGTGGATGATTTAGTACAATATAATCAAGAAATACTTGCTAAAGAAAATGTAATCTTATAAGAACAGACTCTCAGGCTCAACCCTGCATGGTGTTTTAGAGGTCTAGGATTTTTAGGCTTTGTCCACATCTCTCAGCAGGCGGAAAAGCGCTCGGAAGTGACTCTCCTGGTTGGGCCCCGATACGGCATAAGCCACGTCATAAACACCAAAACCAATCTGGTGGCTCTTTTAGCCGACTTCAGCCACGTCAACAGAATCGAGATGTTTACCGAGGAGGACAGCTTGGTGCGGGTGGAGCTGCACGTGCTGGATGTGAAGGTAAATCTTTCAGCTGTTGACACGGCGCCTTGATCTGCATAGCTCATTTGTGATAACGCCGCTATATTTACAAAGCAGTCCGCATTGTACTGTCGAGGCAGAGGATCAGAGATGTGAGGAGAGGTACAGAGAAAAATCACTCAGCTCCTGCCCGAGGGCTCCAGTCCTCACTAAAGAGCCATGTAATCTGGGGGAAAGTTGCTCAGCTTCTTTATCTACACATGAGAAAGCCAACGAGTTCGTTTCTAAGGTCCGTTGTAGCTCCCGAGTGCATGAATCATAGAGAGTGGGAAGGTTTTTCCCTGCTAGCCTTCTAGAATATTCCTGTCCGGAGAGTCAGAGAGATTTTTCCCAACTTTGTGTAGAACTCCCATTCGGCCCATATGTGTTTATTCTTTGGGGAAAGCTGAGCATTTCAGTCTGTCTTCTTGTGCTATAGCCATTAGTACTGACTGAACAGCTGGCCCCTATGAATGTCATGGCCATTCCATTTAAAACAACAATCTGACATTGTCCTCAAAGGGCAGAACTCGACTCCAGAAACAGAAGTTGATGGGAAATAATCCCGGTCCCCTGTACCTGCCTTCTTGTCCCAGTAGTAGATGAGTCATTGGATTTTGGCCATGTTAACACATCTGTGTTTCCATGGAGAAAAGGAAACCGTGTCAACCAGGAGGAGTGCTCTGAGAACAGGAGAGGGTTCTATCTACACAGCAAATCGAACAGACTCTGTGTACTCGGCAGCGGGAAGAAGTGACCATGGAAGGGAGAGTATGGAGCTCAGACATGGTGGCCATGGCTGGTGGCATCTCATGGGCTGAATCCAGAGGCTCCAGGTGACTTCATGGCAATGAAAGTGCAAGAATAGACTTGGGATTCCTGGCCCACTCCGTGAGCAAAGATGCTAAGAACAATGGGCCCTTTGTAGAAAGAATAGGGAGAAGAATGATTTGGATGCAGTCATCAGACACCTGATAACGGGATAATCTGACCCAACAGAAGGAGGTGGCAAGACCCTACTGGTGGTCTCCTGCTTATAGGAAAGAATTGTGGGATGCCTTGAGGGAAGACCTCAGTTGAAATGGAAAGAAAAGGCAGGTTATCAAGTAGTATGGGGGCTTTTGGTGGGATGTTAGATTCCACTAGCCAGGGCGCCTGGGTGGCTCAGTTGGTTAGACGACTGCCTTCGGCTCAGGTCATTATCCTGGAGTCCCGGGATCGAGTCCTGCATCGGGCTCCCTGCTCAGCAGGGAGTCTGCTTCTCCCTCTGACCCTCTTCCCTCTCGTGCTCTCTCTCTCTCATTCTCTCTCTCTCAAATACGTAAATAAATAAATTCTTAAAAAAAAAAAAAAAGATTCCACTAGCCAGGGCCATCAAATGTGGCCAGGGTCCTATACCTGGGAGTGAAAGTAAGAGCTGGTCACCTCGACATTTCTGTGCCTCTCTGGGTGTCTGCTTTCGTGTTACTCCCTTATTCCTCTCAAGTTCTCTCTCTCCCACCAAGAACACACCAGCCAGTCTACCCTTCCTAATTCAAGAAGAATTGCTTCAACTAACCACTCCTTCCCTATATGCCCAAGACTCGTCTCCAATCATATATATGAGAGCCTCATTGTTTCCAGAAAGTTTTAGCAAGGCCTTTTCTCAACTCCCATCGCTGTTTTGCTCTCCTGTGAATTTGCAATTTCTTTTACAAGCATCCTTTTTCTGGATCTTTTTGACACTTTTCCTTCAGTCTTAGACGTCATTTCCGCTTGAGTTTTTACTTCTTTTCAACACTAATTTTCACTATGAACCCAAATTTAATCTTCCTGTGATTTTTCAGCTCGCAGGTTCACATTTGGTAACTGCCTCCTTAACTCTCACTTTTTTAAAATGTTAACTCTTTGGAAACAAAACCAATGTCTACTTTTTTTCTCCCATTCCAGTATTACTTGGGAAGATTCAAAATGTCTACGTTTTCAAGATGGTGTCACCTAAATGTTTTTCAGTAAGGCTCTCAGTGTTACTTCCGACCTTCTGTGTTTCTCCAATGAAATGGTTGCTCAGTAACTTTCTTTGTTATATTTCATAAGCACCAATGCAACTGTTGTCACCTGAGGGAGCTTATTAAGGAGGGATGGCTTTAACCAAAATATTCTCTTTTGTGTAGCCCATCACACTCCTGATGGAATCATCAGATGCCATGAACCTGGCCTGCTTAACTGCTGGCTACTACCGGCTACTTGTGGATTCCAGGAGGTCAATATTTAACATGGCCAACAAGAAAAATACAGGGACCCAGGAAACAGGTATTCTCTTCCTAAACTCATGAAGCACTGACCCCCCCCCAACTTCCCCACCCCACCTGACAACAATAAGGACGTTTCTTGAAAAGTTAAAATTGTGCTCATACAAAAATCTAATGTCCAAATTTAATACAAAAGCCTTCAAATAATTCTGATATGGTCTAATTTTTTTTAATGAAAATGTCGATTTTTCCATCCTATTTTACTTGTCACTTGGAAATGCTGGGGAACGTGTTTCAAAGGGAATGATTTTCCTATTCTGAAGGTAGTTAAGCATCAGTCTTTATGACTGAGTTTTTATTGCCTTGCTCTTCCAGAGGTCAGGATGCGGAGAATTAATGATGGAACGCACAGTGGGAGTTGTGAACCCCCCCTCTTAGGGCTTTTGCCTCCTTAAGGGGCCCTAGGCCTAGATGTCTGGGCACCTCCTTCAATGTCAGACATACACCCAGGATTCTGGGAGCTCTGAGACCCACTGGAAGGCTTAGGGATCACCCAGCACTTGGACTTGAGCCTCTAGAAGGAACCCTAGCAGCCATCGTAGCTCTGTAGTGGGAGCATCGAGATGGCAAAGGCATCAAACAAGTTCAGCCACTTGACAGGACAAGAAAACTCACAAATGAGAACAAGGAGGGCTGCAGTATTAACTGCTTCTCCGGGAGTGGGCGGTTTTCATTTGCTTTAGAATTCGTTTTCTTTAGTGTTTGATTATTTTCTTCCATCTACAGTAGACACTCGGTAAATGTGGCTGATGGACAGACACTAGCCCTCAAGCCAGAGCTGCCGACCCATGAAAAAATTATAATCGGGGGTTCCATGCTCAGGGTTTCTCTTAAAAGAAAGGGAAAATCTTAAGAACAAATTCCATTGTCACCGTTTCTGAAGGGGGCGGGGGAGGAAAAATCCTCTCACTTTCAGACTTAGCAGAAAACGTAAATCATTATTCCCTAAATATCTTGTCACTTGTAGACACGCACAACCCAATAGGCTCGCGCACAGTTTATGATGCTGGGCGGGGGGGGGGGGGGGTGGGCAGTTGGTCACAGGAAGCAGGGAAGCCTGAGAGAAGACGAGGGAGATGGACGAGGCATGCCGGAGGGCAACCTGGAATTACAAGTGGACGTGATCCAGCCCCACCTGGAAGTGTCTTGTTTTAATTTCTCTAAGTTTGGGTTTTTTCATTCGTAAAATCGGGATCGAGAAGCTAGCTGGCAAGGGAAGGGTTTGGAAGGAACTTGTGTACAACACCTAAAAGGATGCCCGAGACTTCTGTCAACAAGGGGCAGGGAAGCAGGAGTAGGAGAACTTGAGAAGGAAGGTGACAGAAACGGAGAAAAGAAAGGAAGAGAGACATAAGGCAAGGAACGACCCTGAGACATGCAAATGATCAAAAATAAACGGAGGAGGAACGAGAAGGCGGTGGCGAGGGTGCACTGGCTCTGGTGGTGAACACTTGTGGGATCGCACGTTTTCGAGCTAGGAGATTTCGAGCAGTTTCGCCCGGGCCTGGGAAATTCTGAAGATCAGTTCTGCAGTGTAACACGACCCTTTTGTGTTGGAAAACCGGTTTTTGGCTTTTTATTTTCAAACCTTGAAGTTGGTCTTGAAAATAAAAACCTTTTTTCCCCATAGACTGTTGAGATTGTACACGTGCGGGAAGAAGAGGAAACCTACAATTTCAAAAAGAGCCACAGTAATGAGGGCCTCCATTCTGTCCAGTTGATGGTGACTCCCAATGTAATGTTTGATCAGGTTTCGAGGGGGGAACACTATTATCACCATGGGGAAAGAATGGAACCTCAACCTTTTGGTAACACTGAGAATGAGGGTGAGGGCATGTGCTCCAGGCATCTCCCTCTTGCTGGGGGGTGTGGGGAACGTGCGTGTAAGCAGCAGGCGCTCAGGGAGAGAGCGGGCATGCTCCAAGGAGCACCTAGTTAACCTGAGCTGAGCAGCAGCCAGGGGCTTAGCACCCTCTCATGGTTGCAAGTTCTCTCTCCTCTTCAGAAACTCCCCGCCACCACCCAAGAAGTGTAGAGAGTGAAGTCTGTTTGGACCCGTTCACCCCTGGTCCACACTGTCCTCCCACAAGATTGGGCCATGGTATAGACCCCAGTTCCTAACCCACATCCTTCTGTGTCTCTAAAATCATTCCAAAAGCCAAGTCGGTACACCCTTCTGGAAGGAAGCCAAGATTGAGTGTATTTTTTCTTCCTATCTCAAATTGATCAGAGACCTTAGTCAGGATCTCTACTAAGGAACGGCAAGCCCCCATTTCTTCCCTAACTTGAAAATGAACCTTCAGTTACTTTCAGAATCCCTGAACCCACATATCTATGCATCTCTGAGCATTAGGAGGATCTGAGGAAGTATCAGTCAACCTGTTTTAGCCTGCTGATCTCTTCAGCTTTCATGTTGTCCTAAACCAGAAATTGGCAAACTATGGCTCAGGGATCAAGTCTTGTTCTTGTAAACAAAGTTTTATTGGTACTCAGCCGTGCACATTGTATTTGTTTCCTAGAGCTGCCATGACAGGTTATCGCAAACCCTGGGGCTTAACGTAACAGCACCTTACTCTCTCACAGTTCTGGTGGCTACAGGTCCAAAATCTAGGCAGCAGCAGGGCCGTACTTCCTCCAAAGGCTCAAGGGGAGAGTCTTTTCTTGCCTCTTCCAACTTCCAGGGGCCACCAGCATTCCTTATGGTTGCATACCTCCTATCTCTGCTTCCACCTTTACACGGCCTTCCCTGCTTTTCTGGGGGGCTTAAATTTCCCTCTGCTTTCCTCCTATAAGGACGTGTGTTGTTGGATTTAAGGCCCACACAGATAATCCAGATGAACTCATCTCAAGACCCATAACTGAATTACACTTACAAAGGCTCTTTTTTCAAATAAGGTCATATTCACAGAGTGGACATATCTTTTGAAGAGGCCCCAGTTCAACCCACTCCATGCATATCTCTGTGTGTCAGCTGTGGCTACTCCCGTGTTACAACAGCAGAGTTGAGTGGTTGCTTGACTGAGCAGTTGGCCCACAAAACCTAAAAATGTCTACCATCTAGCCCTCCCTTTACAGGAAAAATTTGCCAGCCACTAGTTTAAACCCAGAGCTCTGTCCTGGCTTTGCTAAACTGCTGTCTTGCAGCAATTCAATCTCCTGACATACATGAGCGTGCGCTACACACGCAGCCCCGCACACAGCCAGTCATAATCGAAATTGTTCATAAAACAATGCTGAACCCCCACAGGTCTGTTTATCATAAGGTAACGTGTAAATATGGTTCTTGTGTAGCTCAATGTCTTCAGAATTGTATCTTTACTTGCCACTCATGTGAAAATATATGCATTTAGCTAAAGGACTTGGAACAGCGTTCAGCATTGAGTTTAATGTGTATAACTTGCAGGAAGCAAAAACATCTTCGGTAGAACTGATTCTCTTCCCATATGTCTTGTACATCTGATGTCAGTATTATCCAGACCTAGGCCAGGGGACAATTTGAGGGCACTAATGGGAGAATGTGTGGCCCCAACACTTCCTCAGAATGTTTCCTCTGGAATCTACAAAGCAGTATTGACAGAATGACACACTGCCTTGTCTTGTTAAATGTCAGAGCAAAATTTCCACATCAAAATTCCCTACTGGAAGACCCTTGAGGAACAACCAAAACAATGATTTTTAAATTAGGGTTTTGCAATTTTAATTCATGAGGAACATCAAATAAATCTTCAGGAGTTCTCCTGATACCAGTAAAAATTGAAATTAGCCAAACTGTTAACTATGCTTTGAAATAGCAGAGAGGGAAAAAAAGAAAAGAGAAGAAATAGGGGCGCCTGGGTGGCTCAGTCGTCAAGCGTCTGCCTTCGACTCAGGTCATGATCCCAGGGTCCTGGGATCGAGCCCCGCATCGGGCTCCCTGCTCGGTGGGAAGCCTGCTTCTCCCTCTCCCTCTCCCACTCCCCCTGCTTGTGTTCCCTCTCTCACTGTGTCTCTCTGTCAAATAAATAAAATCTTAAAAAGGGAGAAGAAATAGTAGAGAGAAGCACATTACCTGTGACGTGCTCCACGTTATGCAGTCATACACATGTGCATGTGCGCGCACACGCGCAAGCATCCATCCTAAGCTTTATGCGTGGATGTCTTAACACCCACTAGGATATACAAAGGCTGAGGATAGAGGTTTTTGTACTATCATTACAATATTATCATATTTTTATGTATGTATGTATTAGATTATTTTTATTGTGACATTATTACGTTATACAATATTTCCTAAAATATGTGGTTGGAAGTATGCGGTTCCTTGACTTTCTCTTAACTCAATGAGGAAAAAGTCCAACATCTTCGTCCACAAAGTGGGGGATGTCAGATCTCGCTTTACTGAGAAAAGGGGAATCTATTTTCTGGAATGACAACTGATTGGACTGTGGCCTTTAAGGAATTTGAAAGGCAGTTTGTATATTCCCATTCATAGACAGAAATGAGGTCTTCTAATAATAGAACCAAGGGTCAGATGGAGTTAAGCTGTAGTTCCCTATACTCGGATGGTATTCTTTTTTATCAAATAGCAATTATATTTTGTGTGGGATCGATTTTGTTAAGGTCAGTTCTCCTAACCAGGAAATCCTGACACCTGAAGCCTCCATCGACTGGTACCATATCCGGAAGGCTGCATGACCATATTTACAAAAGTGATGATGCTACAAGCCATGAAATTAAGAAACCAGGCCTCACAGTAACGTTGTCTTTGCATGATTCTTTCTCCTTAGGAACTGAAAATAAAGGAAAGCATAACCTCCTTGGCCCCGATTGGAACTGTATACCCCAGATGACCACCTTTATTGGCGAAGGGGAGCAAGAAGCCCAAATAACATATATAGATTCAAAACAGAAGACGGTCGATATTTCGGACGGCACCTTGTGTCCCAAAGACCACCGGCACCTGTATATAGACAGCACCTATAATCCAGACGAACTCAACCAGCCGCTGACCCAGCCGGGAGATGCTCCGTGTGAGGCCGACTACAGGACTCTAGCTCAGCGCTCCCTGCTGACCCTCTCAGGACCGGAAACACTAAAGAAAGCCCAGGAGTCTCCGAGAGGAGCTAAAGTGTCCTTTATTTTCGGAGATCTCGCCTTGGATGATGGCATGAATCCCCCGACTCTCGGCTACGATAGACTACTGGAGGAGAGCCCGGAACTGCTGGAGAAGCAGAGGAATCTCTACATCGGCAGTGCCAATGACATGAAGGGCCTGGATCTCGCTCCTGATGCTGAGAGCATCCAGTTTGTGGCAAATTCCGTTTATGCAAACATAGGTGATGTCAAAAACTTCGAGGCCGCCGAGGGGATAGAGGAGCCCCTCCTGCACGACATCTGTTACGCAGAAAACACCGATGACGCGGAGGACGAAGATGAGGTGAGCTGTGAGGAGGACCTCGTGGTGGGAGAGATGAACCAGCCAGCCATCCTCAACCTGTCTGGGTCAAGCGATGACATCATTGACCTCACATCCCTGCCCCCTCCAGAGGGGGATGACAATGAGGATGACTTCCTGTTGCGTTCCTTGAACATGGCCATCGCCGCACCCCCACCTGGCTTTCGAGATAGTTCAGATGAGGAGGACTCCCAGAGCCAGGCAGCGTCCTTCCTCGAGGACAAGGAGCCAGGCAGGAGTCTGCAAAGTGATGAGATCCCCGTGTCCCTCATTGACGCTGTGCCCACCAGCGCTGAGGGCAAGTGTGAGAAGGGCCTGGATAACACCGTGGTTTCCACGCTGGAAGCTCTAGAAGCTCTGTCCGTGTCAGAAGAACAGCAGACCAGTGACAATTCAGGTTCTTTCACGATTGTTACATTTATTCACTGATAACCATGCATTGCATCCTCTCAAGCCATTTACCCCTGAAGTCCTGTTGTGTGCTGTTCTCCATTTCACGCATGTCCCATTTCATAAGTGTGTTGAAACTACCATCATGGGTTTTTTGTGTACGTGGTCTCCTTCGTTTTTTTGTTTTTTGTTTTTTTAAATATGTGGCACGTATCTTCCCCCATTTCTGGAACAATTGTGCAATAAACTCAGAGTCCTTACTGCAAAGGGAAAACCTTGGTTTTTTGTTTGTCTTTTGTTGTTGTTGTTGTTGTTGTTGTTTTATAATAACGAGTCCCATTTTCTTACGTGTCTCCTAGTGCCTCTGATGCATCCATTAATCGGCTCTTGTCTTTTACGGCATGCAGGTGTAGCCATCTTGCGGGCTTATAGTCCCGAGTCTTCGTCAGACTCGGGCAATGAGACTAACTCTTCTGAAATGACTGAGAGCTCTGAACTGGCCACAGCACAGAAGCAGTCAGAAAGCCTCTCCCGCATGTTCTTGGCCACTCACGAAGGATACCACCCCCTTGCAGAGGAGCAGACCGAGTTCCCCACCTCCAAAACCCCTGCCGGGGGCTTGCCTCCCAAGTCCTCCCACGCCCTGGCCACCCGCCCAGTGACTGACCTCCCACCCAAAGTTGTGCCTTCCAAACAGATCCTTCACCCAGACCCCATGGAGATGGAGCCCGAAACCATGGAGACCAAGTCGGTCACCGACTACTTTAGCAAACTGCACATGGGGTCAGTGGTGTATTCCTGCACCAGCAAAAGGAAAAGCAAGCTGGCCGATGGGGAGGGGAAGGCAGCCCCTAGTGCAAACATGCCAGGGAAAAAGCAGCAGGGGACCAAAACGGCCGAGGCAGAGGAGGAAGCCAAAGGTAAATTTGGTACTGTATCTTCAAGGGACAGTCAACACCTAAGCACTTTTAACCTGGAAAGAACTGCCTTTCGCAAGGACAGCCAAAGATGGTACATGGCCGCTGAGGGGGCGGTAACCGAGCAAAGTGGATTGGAAGCGGCAACGGGGATAACGTTCCCGAGAGCTTCTGGTCTGGGGACAAGGGAGGCGGAAGAGAAGGATGAAGGCGCTCCTGATGGAGAAGCCAGCGAGGTTTCAGCACTTGGCCAACGGGACCACTTCTTAACTGACGTGACCTGTGTATCTTCAGCCAAAGACTTAGATAACCCCGAGGATACTGACCCGTCCACCTGTGACCATCCTTCCAAGCTTCCCGAGGCGGAAGAGAGCGTGGCCCGCCTTTGTGACTACCACTTGGCCAAGCGGATGTCATCGTTACAAGGCGAGTGCCATTTTTCTCTACAGAGCTCCCAAGGCTCGTCAGTGGAGGCGGGCTGTGGCACCTGTGCCGCGCCTGTGGAGTCCCCACTCTGCCCCGCTATGGGGAAGCACCTGATTCCCGAGACTTCGGGGAAAGGCATGAGTTACGTTCCTTCCGAGGAGAGAGCCGCTGGCCTGCCCCCCCACGGAGCCACCTTTAAGGAATTACACCCCCAGACGGAAGGGATGTGTCCGCGGATGACAGTGCCTGCCCTGCACACAGCTATTAATGCGGAACCCCTGTTTGGCACTTTGAGAGATGGATGTCATCGACTCCCCAAGATTAAGGAAACCACAGGTACAGCAATGATGGATTTAGCGCTTCGCATTACACCCCGGAAGCATGTAAACCAGATTTACGACAAACCTAAAAGTATAAAGTCTGGAAGAAAACTAAAAGTTAAAATTTTGTTTAAAGGCTGCAGAACTGTGGCCAGGTTCTCAATCATTGATTCCGCACCCACCTTCCCTGTGTTTAGTGAACACTGAAGTTCCTAGATCTGGAACAATAGTGGAAATGGCGTCCACTCTTGAGAATCTTGCTCTGTGCTGGCTTCCAAAATGTGGTGAAGCAATACATTTTTTTCCTAAAGTCTAAATGTAGATTTTTAGCAGTGTTCAGCGGGACTTTTGGTTACAGGACAGTATGACGTAGAGTCCCAAGAGTTTAATGTCCCTCTCAAGACCTCAGATTTCTGTTTTTGCCATTTCATTATTGAGGGGCAAGGAAGGAGAATAGAGCAGGGTAGCGGGGAGATCAAAGGGGTTGGAGAAGATCATTTGCCCTTCAGCAATACTTAACATCCCTCCCTACTCTGTAAGACTCTCTTAGAGATGTGTTCTGCAGTATCTGGCACACCTCGGTGTCAGGAAGGCTCTGGGGATACGCACGACGAGCTGCTTTATTTTCCCCAAAAGAATAAAATATAGGCACAGGTAGAAACAAGAACAGTCACCTTCTGCGCCCATCTTCACCATTCTGCCACCCAGTGGGCACATGTTCCTCTCACCGATCCACTCGGCCAGCCATCCCGTGGCAAAAACCAGATGTTCTTTCATACCCTCAAATATCAAAGTATATCAACAGTGTTGCTTCCATACTAGGTCAGTAGATGGTAGGGAGAGCTTACCTTGGTTCATTTGCAGCCCTTTTAAGATGATCTCCTTTCACAAAACCCACCACTGACATCCCTGGCCTTGGGAAACGGGTCTATGAATGTTCCTTAACTCGTCACTCCGCTAGCGTCTTGACCTCTAATTAAAGCATGCTGTTTACTCTTTCGTGGTTTACAAAGAGCTTTCCCCTAACTTCCCTCTTCTCACAAAAATTCTATGAGGCAGAAATATTTTCTTCACATAACGGCTTTTTAAAAAAAATTTTTTTAATTGAAATTCACATGACAACTTTTTTTTTTTAAGATTTTTATTTATTTATTTGACAGACAGAGACAGCGAGAGAGGGAACACAAGCAGGGGGAGTTGTGAGAGGGAGAAGCAGGCTTCCCGCCAAGCAGTGAGCCCGATGCGGGGCTCAATCCCAGGACCCGGGGATCATGACCTGAGCCGAAGGCAGACCCTTAATGACTGAGCCACCCAGGCGCCCCTCACATGACAACTTTTTTGAGAATAGTTGGGCAACTCGTCCAGGGTCTCTGCTTCAAACCCAGTACCAGGCAGACCTCGTGGGGGCCTCTTAAAAAGTTGACCTTGTTTACTTTGCATTCATTAAATTAGACCATTTAAAAAAAAAAGATAACTGATGCCGGGATTAACCTAACTGCCTTGAAATGAAACTTCAATGTCATAAATATGTTTGCATAGTCGAGATCTAGGAGGTACGTTTTCTAATTACGTGTCTAAACGCTGATAGATAAATACTGGGGGCAAGGCAAGTCATGAAACGCCCTGGTCTCTGAAAACGACTGTGATTGCTAGCCAATTCCAAAGAAACCCATAGTTTCAGAAATAACAGACTCCCTGAATTTCTTGAAATGTGTTGAAATGGAAATCTGATGAGATCTCAGGAGGCAGTCTTTGAAAAGGGGGGTGACCCTGACAAATGGTGGCCCTTCTAGAGTGCATCCTCGGGCATTGACAAACAGCATGTAGAGATTCAGTGAAAATGACCCCCCCCCATGAGATGCTTAATGATTCTCTCTGTTTCTCTGCTACCCCTAGTGTAGCTTTGACAGAGCCTGGGAAGGAGAGACGAGGAGGCATGCCTTCAGCTTGGTCTCAACATCCTGAAGCTGATCCCATCCTGCTACCATCAAACATTCACTCGGAATCAAAGGTGCCAATTCCAAATCAAGACCCTAATGATTTCTCCCAAGCAAATCTGGCATACGGAGAGGCTGTGAACTGGCGGCCACTGGATCTGAGAGGGGGGAGCCTCGGAACACCCCCCAGCCAGAGGGCTCTGAGACGTAGCAGCAGTATCCTCTCGGGATCTGTAGGTTTGGAGACCCTCCAAGAGAGAACCAAGGGTGTGGTCAGCTTAAAGTGTCCAGGTGTCACGGAAGCACAGGAGGCCAGCTCGGAAAGGCGAGCAGAACTCCCCCTGGGGAAGAAGATCACCAAAAGTTTTTCCCAAAGCTCGATGTTCTTTAGCTCTGAGGGGAAAGTCCACAAAAGGTCCCCGGCGGCTCACAAAGACTCAAAGCTGTGTAGGACATTACCCTTGCGCAAGCTGGAAGGCAGCAATTGGAGATGCCGGGGACCTTTCAGCTACTGCTTCCTGACCCGAGGGCAGGATGAAGACGGCGATGAGGATGAAGAGGAGGGAGGGGCCGTACGCCAGGTCTCTTGCCTCTTTCGACCACAGATGACTCAAGCCATGCCAGAACCAATCAGCCCACCTCTGGCTGTTGGGATTCGGAAGCAAGGAGGGGAGCTGACCAGAGGGTCAGTGCTGAAGGTCTGGGCAGACGACCTGACTGGCCCAGAGGATGCGGACTTTAGCAGCCTGGCCTTCGATGCCCGGATTGCAAGAATCAGTGCCCTAAAAGAGAGCACGTATGCAATGCCTGATGGGTTCCTCGCAGCCCAAAATGATGCCAATGAGCTGCTCTGCCTTGTCAGGGCAACAAAGGGGAAGAGAGAGGAGTCACGCCCTGAAGCATATGACCTTACGCTTTCTCAGTACAAGCAGCTGTTGTCCATCGAGTCCAGACAGTTGGGAAGTGCCTGTAGGAAACTGGCAATGGCCGAGAAAAGCCCAGAGGAGATGCTCCTAGCTATGACTTCCAGCTTTCAAGTGCTCTGTTGCCTAACGGAAGCTTGCATGCGATTAGTGAAGGTCGTGAACTCAGAAACACAGCGGCAGGAAATCGTAGCGAAGATCAATGAAGTGGTCATAAACTACATTTGTCTCCTGAAAGCTGCAGAGGCAGCCACTGGAAAGACCAGTGGGGATCCTAATGTTGGACTCTCGGCGCGACATTCAACCACCATGGCCGCCCTCGTAAGCACACTAATGCGTTCTCTCAAGATGCTTTTAAATAAATAAAGTATGAAAGTCACATCATAATCTACCTTTGCAAAGCCATACATGAACGTTTATTTACTTTATGTGTACGATGAACAGATGTCTCCTTTCTTCTCTCTGTATATTTTATTTTATATAAAATAGGAGATAAAAGTCACACTGATGAAATGTTGAAATGTACTAATCAGACATATTCTGTTTATATTATACATATATATACATGAAAAAGAAATATCCAAGAAAGTGATGACATTTGGCTATTTTTCATATAGTTGAAACTCCAGGTATATGATGTGAAGTTTTAAATTCTACCGTGTTAGAGCAAAACAATGAATCCTATCCCCTTTCCCTCCCAAGCGGATACTTGGAGACCATATCATTCATGCTTAGAAGTTAAAAGAGAAAGAGAGAGAGAAAGAAATCACAATGTATATAAAACAGTACTTATGTTTTAAAATTACAATTTTTAAGCATTGGAAATAGCAAAGAAGACATTTAAGATCCAAGAAGCTATTATGAATTAATAGAGAATATATATAATAAATCAATTTTTTGCTCATAGTGTTTGGTTATCTGATGCTTTCTTCCAGGAATCCCTACATAACATTTAATTTTGGCTTATGCCATTTGGACTAGAAATTGGGGTGCAGTGGATTCTATTGTGTCACTAGAAATGCTCTTCACGATGTTTCTACAATTAAAATACTTCCCAAGTAGAAGAAGAGAGGTAACGAAGGGCAGGTTCCTAGGCAATACCTAGAGTTAGAGATTATCTAATTACATAAAATGAAAGGAATGAATAATATCAAAATTAAATTGTTTGATGAAAAGAGAGATCTCCTTTGATTTAATGTCAAAATATATAAACCAAAGACGTCATCTTCCTCCCCACCCCAACTCAACCACGAAACTTAGAATTCCATTAAGAGTGACAGAACATTTAGTGAAGTATTTGCAAAATTACAAAAAGCCACAATCAAGGATCATCGGAGTCAGTGCAGATCCAGTCCTATAAAGCAGACGGGACACCAGCCTGTGAGGCACGGCTCTCCGCATAGAGCTTCGTGCATCACCTCTACAGGGCCAATGCTTCCAACCAAATTCGGAATCCCAGCCTAACACTGGGACAGTTTCAAATCCGGAATGTTCCAGAAAATCAGGGAGAGATGGCTCCTCTCATATAGAAGCCATGATAAAGTATTTAGTAGAGGTTCTCATTTGGATTGGTAGATAGAAATAGGAAAGCTGGGCGGAAAACAAACAAACAAGTGGTAAATTTGACCACTTTCGGTGAAACTGATGGAACATAAAGAAGTTTTCAGAACTGTCCTCTGTCTACAAATGTATCTTTGGGTCAAAGCAAAAGGATGCAAGCCTCAATTGTCAAATAAAATTGATATGTACATATGTACTTCATGGGTCATTTAGTGCTTAAGCTCCGCCTACTCCTGTTTATGTAGATGGCTCCTTAAAAGATGACAGGAGTATGCCAGGTGCAAATACTTCATTTTTGTAGCCTACTGGGCAGGAGGTGTAACAGTCTGTAGTTGCTATCTCTTCTCATCAGTCGTTCCATAGAGATTCCATCACAAAAGTCACACATATTTCTAGATGGTAGCAAACAAAAGGAGTTTAGGTGTGTGTTATTATAAATAATGTTTAAATAATACAACATTATTTTCTTATAATTATAAATATTGGTGTTTGATATTGATAAATATTAATGGTGTTTACTGTGGAAATTTTTGGTAAATATTCTGTGCACTAAAATGCTAACATTAATAGGATGTGTGTTCTATGTCAGACAATGTGCTAAGCATATCACATATATTTAACCATCACAACAATCTTATGGTTTGGACACTGTTGTTAATTCCCTATGGAGGCAATGTGGTTTAATCGTTAAGGACATGGGGCCTGGGGTCAGAAACTTCTTGATTTACATCTGGACTCTGCCATTTTCTACCCCTTTCATCTTGGGAAAGTTAATGTTTTCTAAACCTCGATTTCCTTATAGTAAAACGAAACTCTCTTTCCATAGGATTGTCATGACTTTTAAGTACAATCACGTGTGTGAAGATTTTACTGCATTACCCGGCAGAGTAAATACTTTAATGTTAAGATAATTTCATCATAGTCATTACGTCAAATATATTGACCAAGATAATGTGTGGGAGATGTTTGCTTTATATGCATATTGTCTCCTGCCTGTATGTGCAGGATGCATTATGTGTGTTGCATGTGTCTAAAAGGAGCGTACAAGGAAGTGGTGAACCTTGTTCAAATCCTATCCAGTTAGAACAGCTTATAGTCCATTCCAGTTCTTTGAGAGGCCTAAGTGAGGCAGCTCTGGGTCTTTCCAGATCATCTCCCATTACCTATGGGTGCTCCGGTACATTTCTGTTTCTTACAAACTCTTTAGTACTTCGAAAACCTCAAGCCCCCCCCCCCGCCACCAATTCACTACACATGGGGCTCCTGAGTGGGGTCCAGGTCCACTAGAGTGTAAGAAGAACATGTTAGAATGATCCTTGTGTTTATTTTTATCTAGCCTTTTTTATGTTTATGTATGTTTTATAATGGCGTAATAGTACGGTGGTATATGTACATCATTTTAAATAAATAAATCAATTAATAAGCATATGCCTGGTGCATGTATGCAAAAATCTTGTCGCAGGTAGGGTTGCATTCACACAAGTTGGGAGACCACTGAACTAGAGAATAAAACTTCCTTGTAACCCGAGGTCCATTTTTTTTAAAGATTTGTTTATTTTAGAGAGAGGGGGAGAGCACGCATGGGCGGGGGGAGGGGCAGAGAGACAGAAAAGCAGACTCCCCACTGAGCACAGAGCCCGTCGGTGGGGCTCCATCCCAGAACCCCGAGATCATGACCTGAGCCGAAACCAAGAGCCGGCCACGCAACCGACTACGCCACCCAGGCGCCCCTGTACTCACGGTCCTTTATATTTAGCCCCCAGCCTGGTTTTCCGAGTATATCACTATTAATCTTTTATTCTAAGACTTTGAAACATATACAAAAGTAGACACAGTCATGTAATGAATCGGTATGTACTTCTCACACAATTCATTTAGTAAGAACTTATTACAGATAACTTTTAAACATAACCACAATGCCATTTTCACTTTCAAAAATCAATAATGTCTTAATGTAATCAAGTAAATATTAGAGAAGTGACGAAGAAAGTGAAAATTCCCATAAACCCAGCCCCCAAAGAGAGTCCTTGTCAACAACTTAGGGCATCTTCTTTCAACTTCATACCTATATATACTGATGTTAGTATTATTGTCTGGGTTTGAGTTTAACATTTGACTCTGAGTTGGTCTGACTGCAATTGCCCTTCTAGCTGAGTCCTCATTCCAGCATATTTTATGTAAGTGGATTGGCCAGAAGGGGTATGATGGACGTGGAAAGACAGAGTACTCAGATGAACAACCACCACAGCATTAGGCTTCTAGTAAAATCCAACAACTAGTGCTGTTGCTTCAGACATTGAAATTAACACAGACCCCCTAGGCCCAACTGGAATCAGTCTAATCGCAAAATAAATCACTTTCCAGAAAAGAAAGACTAACAAATATTGGAATGACCAGTACAGCAACGCTGCAATGGATCAATTTCTTTTGCTATGAATTTCATCTTCCATGATGATTTGTCGTAAGACAATCTTCATTTATGTTCCTTTTTCATGTATTTCCAAATGCCAGTTATTCTCTGAATGATACTTCTGAGCTACTCAGGATGTCACTAGGATTTATTTCTCCTGGATTACTCTTGGTTTGGCAATGGGAGAAGTCCACTCTCTTTGGTTTACCATTCATAATTGCGTTAACTGATTTTTAAATTGGGAAATGAGCAAATCGGCTCTCTTCGGGTGATTCCTTATCTTTTCCAAACATTTAGAAATCTTCATAGGGATCAAAATACATATA